AATTTAAATTTGGACACGGGATAAACACCATTATATTCAGTACAATCTCTATATTCCGTAAATATGCCAAATGAGCAAATCTATTTGGGGCCGAAACGAGACTAACATAAAAGACATGATAGCGAGGGTGTTTAGCAGACACAATAAGCTATCATTTAACGAGTATTGAGGGATTAATCTCAATATTGCAGGGGTTCCCAACACTAACAAGTGTAAGCCAACAATATGAGTTTCTCATCACTGTGTTAAATATGTTTGACTTAATGACAACTTAAGATTTCCTTCCTTAGTGCCCTTTCGGTCTAAGTGCATATGTGTTGACCAGTTTTTCAACTAACTTAGGTGGAGACCATAAAGGAAACTAGCATCCTGCCATGGTGGCAGTAAATAGAGAGTGTCCGTAGGGATTGGCCGACAAATATCTTTCGATACCCAAAATCATATTCATGATATAGTGGCTTTGAAATTTATAAGCTATGATAGCTCTAAGTTGCAATATATAAAATTGCAGAGGTTATTTTTGCTTTTAGTGGCTAGGAATCTTGGTGAGATAAAAAAGTTGTAAGAAACTAAAATGAAGTTATAAGCTCTAGAAAGAGGGTTGGAAAGGTTAATTGTGAAATAAAGTCATTTATGCTAAGTGGACATGTATTCGAGAAATGTTTGAGAGGATGTATTTGTAATCTCTTGAGTATGAATAAATATCAATCTTAACATATGGTGTGATTCCCTTAGTCAACCAACAAAGTCAAACTCAAGACTCTTCTGATACCAAATGTAAGCTCACGAGTTTGAACTTCCCAAGAGGTCACCCAACCCAATACTATTCAAACCCAAAGATGATTAACCCTAAGCATCCTAAGACCCTTAATCGATTAAAAAAGATATGCACTTTTATTCATAAGCACTTTCTCTTTATATTTGAACCTCTATGTATCGTCTCTCAAGTCATTCTTTTTTATTGTTTATAACTATGTTATAGCTTAGTTTTATGCACTAGGGAGGAGAGAGAACAATAAAACTCCTTTCATAAATGCAAGAGTTGTGAGGGGGATATTTACTAAATGTATAACATTTGTGGTTATTTTTGTGGTTGTAACAAACGAGAAAAAAAAATTTAATAGCAATAGTAAAGAGAGCAAAACTTTTCTTAAAGAGAAATCACTAGAAAGAGGACTAATGCTCCACTTCAAAATTAAGAAAATCAGTTACTTTTAAATATGGGAGTATAGAAGATGTGAGAGGACTTTTTGACAAAATAGCTTTCCATAACAATGTGATTTGGATGTCCATGATCTTGAGCTCATCTTGGAAAGTAGATAAATAACATTAAGTTTTTAGTCACTTGGTGATATCTCAATAGATATTTAGGGATTTTTAATTCTTTATGACTAGACTTATAACATATGTTAATTTAGTGGATGTAAGAAAGACTAAGTGCCTAAAAATAGTAGCTTTCATTCACTCTCAAATTAAGGAAGAGCAAATGCAACTTAAATATGTTTGTGGTTAACAATGCTAACTATAGTAACATTAGAAACACTTTAAGGGGTTTTCTTTATTTGATGCCTTGAAAGGGTGTGGTTTCATAAATATCTTTGGATTTAGACGAAAATAAAATGATGTGATTATATTATTGGATTGGCTTGGAGTGTTTTAATTGTATAGATATGATGTATATGAAAATGTAAGAGAAGAGAATAAATCTAAATAAAGGAAGTATATTATTATAATTTTTATTGCTTGATAGAGCATGGTGATCTACATTATTGTTGGTGCATAAGTTGATAAAACATTAATCACCCTTATATTATAATTGATAAAGTGTAAGTTTAGTCATTGGCCTTTTAATTATTTCTTGGTGAAATTTACAATTTTAAATTTTAAATAAGGGAAAGACCACTATATATATAACAAGCTAAGTGACATCCATGATAATAATATTCAATTTTGATGGATTTAACTAAGTGTTAACTTTTAATTGAGTGTGAAGTAAAGGTTCTTGGTTTGCACTAAGAGGATGGAAGAAATAAACAATAGGCATTGAGTGTTAATGCGTAAAGTGTTTATGTTACTTTTTTAAGTTTTTAAGTAAAAATCACTTTAGTCTTTTATTTTATTTTTTTGCATGTGTCCATGAATAAGAATTAGTTATACATATTCTTCATAAAAAAATTTATGATGACTTTTAAGGCAAGAAAGAAAAGCAATGCTTAAGGAATCTAGAGAGAAGCAACATAAAAAGATATTTACCTCTAAATTTTTGGCATCCTAGGAATTAACACTATAACACTGTATTTAAATTAATGGATCTTCCTTATTTACATCCTAATTACCCAAGTTTTGGTGCATACATTGTCTCTTTATCTAGATTTTTAGAATTGCTTATGTGACTTTCATATTGTATGGCATTATGGTTTTTTATATTTTTTCTTGAGTTTGTCAAGGGAACTCATTGATTTTACTCATACAAAGAGATCAATTTTCTAAGGAAAAACATTAACAACATTAGGCAATAAATAAATCTTTAGTTATTATAATGTGTACTCTCTCTCTCTCAAATTTCTATTGTGCCATTTGCTTATTCTTTTTTCTTTTATCCTATGGTTAGTTAGGAGAAAAACTGACTAATTGCACATAAGCCTAAAGACTTATTTGAAGTATAGATTATGGGTTATAAATAGGTAGATGCATTATATCACAATCAAGGTAAGTTATCTTTTTCATTTTAATTTTCAATGCATAGCAATATTATAATTGGGATCTTTAATAGGTCCAATGGTAATTCTCAATCATACTCATGCTCACTTGGGAAAATAGGTGGTAGTGATTTCAAATCTGGATAGATAAAAATGAACTTTGTGCTTGTAAATTTTCTAAATTATGATAAATTCTAGTTTGAATGCATCTACTAGCCAATTTCCACTATTAGCCTTCTAACTATGATGGTATCTAACATGATCATTATCAAGGTAAAATGATTTGGTCTAGAAAAAAGTATCAAGTTTGTTTTTATTTTCTAATATATTCTTTACATTGTTGATAGTAAGGGGCTATAGATGAATATATATATGAAAATTTCACACTATGTACAACACTTTGTGTTCCTCATTTAGCTTAGTGTGGAACCAGCTAAAAAGAGGGAAAGTATAAAAAGAAAAGCAACTTTAATAATTATAAGGTTTTAATGAGTTTAACTCGCTGTAATAGGCAATATGTATTCTCGAGAACATGAGTGCCATGTGGGTGGTTGGATCACCTTAATATGTGAGCTATTGCCTAGTCACTCTTGCTGTGAGATCCACTTCATGGCTGATGATCTAGGAGAATGGTGGATTTCATAATCACTAGGCAACTCCAACAAATCCAAGTGGAGAGCTGCTGTAATCCACCACAGAAATCTGCATACAAGCAATTGCCACAAAAACCCTAAACCTAGGTATAAATTCAACAAATATTAGATGGCAATTTTCAATTTAACCAACATTACATATACTACTTAATGGGCTTGCCACATGCATGTTAAGGCTGTTCATGGCATGAACTCAAAATGTGCTCATTGGGCTAATGTTCGGCTCACCCTTTCCAAGTAGGAATAAACTTTGTTGGTAGTGCTGGACAAACTTGTTCTTCTTTCCTAAGATAAAAAACATTCTTATCATCTTGTTCCTTGCAATTGACTAGGGATCTCTTCCATAAATCTGGATGAGAGATTGCTATCCACCCTAGCATTGAAAGTTGGCACTAGTCCAAGATCAAGGCTCAGCAACCTATTGAATTTGTATTGAATCCTAAGAATATTTCTTCGTTCAAGTCATAAGAGGAGTGACAATAAAAAGGGGAACAATTAGGGATTAGTGGTGAATAAAAAGTCAAAGTGCCACTAAGAAGGATACTGCCTTAAACTGAGAGGCAAGTGTGTTATGCATCCATGGGTGTACCATTATGATAAACTCTCATGGTTGTGTTGCCCAGGACAGATTCCCAGGCAATGCACCAATAAAAAACCCGCAATGGACAAGATACACCCATGGATGCACAATGCTCCCCACTCATTCACACGCTCCATGGCAATCTTTCTCGACACTTCTTTTATTCTTGTCTCTTCTCTTTTTTATGTAAGGAATATTCCTGGGAATCCACAGTGAAATTTCCATCATCCACTTTGCGAGCAGCTTTGCACACAGAATCCAGATTTGTCTAAATTATACTTTAGCTATATTTCTTCGGCAGTTTGTGGAACAGGGCTGGCCTGGTCCTCAGCTTCTGAGGTCCATGACTCTAATTCTTTTATTTATCTTGGCTTAGTTTCCAGAAATAAAGTATTTAGTAAAACTAATTCATCCAACTTGTGAAGAACCGAACTTCTGACGAGCTCATCACCTCCAGGCAAACTCCAGATTTCAAATTCCTGGGCGGTTTTTGTCATCCAATTGGATTTGGTGCATTCACATTGAGCCAGTGCTTTGACCTTCCATGAAAACCTGGATATGCTCAAAGGAACTGCCGATGTTCCTGACGTTTTTCAAGTGATGTTGGCTCCCAGCTCGGAGCTTGTAGATCTAGTTTTTAGCTCGTTTCTGTTTCTATTGACTTTCTTGAAAGCGATCAGTTCCTGAGAACGAGAAACCATTTCGTAATATGAAAAAGACTACAATCTAAATCATGTTATGCACTGGAAAAACCTTCGATTGGCTGCTCTTTTACCACCTCCAAAACTAGAGTTTCCCCTCACTGGATTCTGTGGTAAGCAAGGAGCTCAAGGTTAGAAACGGTAAACTCATAATCGACACTTATCTTTCGAACCCTGAATCCCAGAAACGAGACAAAGGAAATTCTTACTATTAGACGCAAAGAGCATTCCACAATTCCTCGATAATAGCTCGGCCTCCTAGTTCGATCTTCTATCTGTCCATTCATCCAATGGCGTGGATTTTAAATCATCGACTTCCCGCCTCAAGTGCCCTAGCGATGCTGGCCGTCGGATTAAACCTCTAATCCAACGGTCGGATTTAGGATCTAGGGCGCCAATGGGAGCGGCTTCTTGCGACGGCGATGGCGAGCGCAATGCCGTCGTCGTCGGCCTCCAGCCCGTGGCGCTCGTTGATCACGTCGCCCGCGTCGACTGGGCGATGCTGGAATCCGTGCCGGGCGAGCGCGGCGGCTCAATTCGGGTAAGATATTTAGTTTCCCTCCTCGAAATCCTCAAAGCTTTTGCTCGCTTCACTCAGGTCACGGCCACGGAGCTAGAAGACATTCTAGCTCAAGTGAACAAGCATGTTCTGCCCAATGGTGATTTCTCCAGTCCAATTCGCACGCTAGCTGGAGGTAGTGTAGCGAATACGCTCCGAGGCTTGGCGGGGGGGCTGGGCGTGAGATGTAAGATGGTCGGTGCTAGAGGCAATGACGAGCAAGGGAAAATGTTCGCTACGAGCATGCGAAGCTTTCAGGTGGATCTTTCGTGCCTGAGAGTAAAGTCTGGACCAACAGGCCAGGTGACTAAAAATTCCTTCTTTTTCTTTCTCTGGGTGTTCTTACTGCTTGTCTTTGTTTTAGTGCGTGTGCCTTGTGGATGCTCTTGGCAATCGCACAATGCGGCCTTGTTTATCTGATGCAGTGAGGCTTCAGGTAAATTGATTTTCCCTTTTTGGTTTTCGCAAGTTGTTAAAAGTGTGTCTTGTTGCCATAGGCAAGCGAATTGACTCGCGAGGATTTCAAGGGGATCAAGGTGATATTTGTAAAGCTTGTGTTTTGATACGCAAATTTCCGTGTTTTTTTTTTTCTTTTTTCTTTGTCTTTGCAGTGGCTTGTGCTAAATGGCTACGGGTTCTATGGAGAAGAGCTTGTTGAAAGCGCAGCGCATCTCGCCAAACTGGAAGGTGCTCTTGTTTCGATGGATCTCGCTAGCTTTGAGGTTCTGTCAACACAACAAACAATCTTTATAGGGAAAGAAGCTTTGTCGCCTCAAATTCGACTAACTAGCTCTGTTTGCTTGTGTAGGTAGTGAGGAACTTCCGGCCGCGCCTCTTAAAGCTCCTTCAGTCGAGAAAAGTAGATCTTTGCCTCGCAAACGAAGACGAAGCTCGTGAACTTATGGGGTAGTTGTTTTCCATCGCCATATACTCGTTTTTACCCGTTCTGTCTTGCAGCGGAGAGCCAGAGTCCACTCCAGAATCTGCATTAAAGTTCCTGTCGCAGTACTGCAACAACGCAGTCGTTATGCTGGGATCAAAGGGCTGCATTGCTCGAAGTGGAGACGAGGTAAAAACAGCTAGGAGAAACTAAACTTTGGCTCTACAATCTAACCAACCGATTTTTATCTTAGGTGGTCCGAGCGAAAGCTGTGGAAGGCGGGTCCGTGGTGGACACAACCGGCGCTGGCGACTTGTTCGCGAGTGGATTCTTATATGGGATGATAAACGGCCTCTCGCTGGATCATTGCTGCAAGCTTGGCTGCTGCACGGGGGCGGCAGTGGTACAAGATTTGGGGGGCGAGATTAAGCAGCAAGGGAAGAAATGGATGCTCCAAAAGATGGCGAGCATGGGGCTTCCAGTTTTCCAAGCCTGACGAATTTTTTTCAATCAAAAAGTCCTATTTGCAAGAGGGTCAAGAAGAGTTTCACCTGGGAAGTCTAGAGGATCGAACGGGCGACCTGGTGCCTGTGGTTTGTTTTGATTTGTGGGTTGTGAGTGTGGGCTATGGCGAGCAATGCATTGAGCGCGGCGAGCGTGGAGGCCGCGTCGCAAGGGCTCAAGGAGCTGGATCGATTGAGGAGAGAACAAGATGGTCTGATCAAGAAGATCAATAAGATCCACGCCAAGCTCGCAGAGACCCGTAAGTAGATTTTTTTTCTTCTTTCCACTTTCGGCAAAAAAATTACATTTTATCTAGGACCTTTTTTTCTTCTCGAGGAAGGATGTGATTTAGCTTTAGTTTGCAGAACCAGAGCAAGCCGAGAAGTTCGAAGATAAGTTCTGGAGCAAGCTACGGGATTTGTATAGTCAAGCTAAAGCACTTGCGGACGCCGAAGAAAGGTTTTTTTTCTTTTTTCTTTTCGAGGATGATGGTGCTAATTTTTTTTCGGCCGAACTAGTGCGTCAAATGCTTGTCTTAGTAATCTGGACGCTCTCTCGATACCTTCACAAGCTGCTGCTGCTCATCGACGTAAAACTGGTTGGCTCTCTTTTCTCCTGTTCTCTTTTTTGCAAGCTGATGTTTTTCTTGATGGAATGCCAGAGACTGGCGATCAAAAGCGGAAGAGAGCCAAGGCCGATGCAGACTCTTCCAGGCTGAATCCGAACGTTTCTCGGTCGGCTGATTCAATTGGTAAAGCTGTTGGAGACCAGGTCGAGCTTGAAAGTTTTTATTTTCCTTGTTTCTTAGTGATTTGTGCTTGCCTTCCAGGTCGCCGCGCGGATTACTCCTGAAGATTCAGAGAAGAGCGAGTGGATTGTCGTCAAGGTGACCCGCTTTGATCGCGAAACAAACAAGTTAAGTCACTCTTTTTGCTCGTCTTTTTTCACAGTGCTTTGTCTCTCCAGATATGAAGTGATAGACGAAGAGCCTGGGGACGAAGAAGAAAATGGTGGAACCGGTGGACCGAGGTAAAGCACCCGCGACTTTAACATCGCTAATCTTCTCTCATCGCCCTCCAGGAAGTACAAGTTATCTCCCTCCGCAATCATCCAATTCCCAAAACCAGCGACAGCGCTGGATTTTCCAACGGGATCTCAAGTTCTTGCGGTGTATCCAGGCACCACCGCACTGTACAAAGCTACTGTCGTCGGTCCTCATAGAAAAGTAAGCCAGAAAGAATTCCTAGCACTGGTTTTGCGCTGATCGAAACTTGTCTTGCGCGTGCCAAAAACGAATTTTTATGCATCAGAAAAAAACGGACGAGTAAGTTTTTTTTCTCTATCTCTTGTATCGTGTTAACCGAGACGTCGTTGGCTTTCTTGTTCCAGCTATATTCTAGAATTCGATGACGACGACGAGGATGGATTTCTACCAAAGCGAACAGTGCCATTTTACCACGTTGTCACTCTTCCGGAGGGGCACCGCCAGTAAATCAACAACAGCCAGTAGCATTGTCGCTGTTGATCAGCTGTACCATGTCGCCTGTAACAGTAACATACGAGAAGAAGCTCAACCGGCCAGCAAACATGGTAGAGCAAGTTCACCATAGCATTGCTGGTAAGAGTTGCAATGCTCATCCAGAATTTGTACCATCGGGGATAAGTCCTCTCTAAATCTTTGAAAAACCGGTGCCTCCTAATATCTATTACATCCGATTCTAATCTCTAATGATGTCTGGCCATGCACAACTCCAGGCTAAATTCTATTCGGTTGACTGGTAAAGCTTGAAAGTTTTCTTTTTGCCTTTTTCGTTTCTTCGTAACTTGTGCTCGCCTTCCAGGTGATTACTTCTAGGAAGAGCGAGTGGACTGTCGTCAAGGTGACACGCTTTGAGCGCAAAAGCTGTCTTTTGCTCGTCTGTTTTCTCATTGCTGGCATGAGTTTCACAGGGGTGTGCTTATGTTACAGCGCTGTCGTAAGCCAGAACGAATTCCTACCAATCTTGCGCGTCTAAAATCGGATCTTGTTGCATCAGAGAGAAAACGAGTAAGTCTCTCTCTATCTCTTATATGTGTTAACCGAGAAACTGATGTGTTGTAGCTACTATATGTTCGCTGTCGCCGATTTACTGTCGGTGCCCCGGAAGAGACGTGGTAAAGCGCTGAAGCAAACGACGTCATCAGCTGAATTGCAGTACTCATCCCATCCAAGTGGCGGCTTTAATGTTGCGACTTTCTGATAGTATATTCACGCCTCTGAAACCCTGAAGGTGTCAGCAGAAGGCTTGCTCAGCGAGCTTGGGCACGTTGAGGTATGCTCGATAATCAAGATTTTTTTGCTTAATCTAGAAATATGTCCTCTCTTTTTTCAGGAACGAAGAAAGGATACAACGTGTTGTGGAGGATTAGATGGATGGTTTCTGGGCCCTTCAGATGCTTTCACCACTTCTGCTGGCTGTTCCTTGTTCAGTAGAGTCACTTGATCTACTCAGAAGAGCCAGATGGCACTGTGAAGCACACCTAGAGAGCCTTTTTCCAAAACCTGGATATCTTACTTGGTTACACATAAATTGCAAAGCATGTCAAATGTTTGTGACAAACATAATCCTTAGCTGAAGTGGTTGACAAGATCAGCTTTGGTCTATAGTATTGCTCAATTCAATATTTTATAGTTCACTTTAAGTTGTTTTAACTCTTAAATATATAGATATGTAACAATTAACATAAAGGTACTATAAGTAAATTCATATAATACTTTATACATATTAGGAATAGGTATATTAATTGGGGTTTAGACCCTTGCTTATATACAAAAATAAATGGACTAGATTCAATCCCAAATGGATAGTCTATGCTATAATATTATAATTAGTGTATTCAGGGTTATATATATATATATATATATAGACACATACAGAGAGATACATACAAACTTCTTTTTCTTTGGAAGATGAAAAATTGATGAAAATAAATTAGCTGGGACATCTAGAGTTTTTCCTGGGTAATTACAAACTATTATAAGAATCTAAAGTTCCCACAAAACCACTAACAAAGTCACTTATAACTATGACTAAAACACCAAAGCCATGATATAAGCATCAATTGCCTACAAAATCTCAATGAACTAATTGCAATTCCATATATAACTACCAAATGCTCAAACTAACATTGAAGTCATAGCTTTGAATTAAAGCAAGGGACTTTGAGAGCCATTGCAATCTATAAACTACCATTGCAACAAATGATATATTTCGTCTTTAAGTCTATTTGTCATATTATTAACTCAGACTCATGACTATAAGCAAAACCTACCTTTACGTCTTCCTTTCAATCAATATTCAAGACCCATATTAACTTAAACTCACAACTATTGTTCACGTCCAACATTGTATATAAGACGTTGGATTCATTTTGTTCGTCTTCCATATCCTTCTTATCCCCTTCTTGAAGGAGGAACTCTTTGATGTGGTTTATTGACTTGATAATGACAAATGTAAATCTTGTAAGTGTTTGAGGAGTTTTTTTGCTGAGAATCGTCATGATAATCACCATGGACACAAAGATGGAAAAAAGCATCACAAGCTAACTACTTTGGATGCAAAAGGAAAAAAAGTTCTAAAGCATTGGCTTTGTTCAGGTTTGTTGTGCTCATCTTCAGTCCACCATCTATGTTTGGCTTCACTTCACTATCGCATTCACTATATTAGGGTTAAATATTTCATTCAAACTCACTATATTCATCCTCACTCCGCAATTTATATTACTTATCCTTGCTCCACTATTGTATCCACTCATCTTCATTCCATCGTTGGGGTTAAACTTTCGTTTGTCCCCTTTACCCCTTCCTCTAAAGAAAAGAAAATTTGAAGTGGCAGGGCAAAAAGGAGAAAAATAGAAAAATTAAGGAAAAACAATTGTAAAAGAAGAAAAAGTGGATAGAAAAGCATTGTAAAAGGAATTTGTAAACATTTGAGATGGGAAAATAAATAATAACATTCACACTCTCAAAAGAATACATAAACTCCTCAGTAGTAATGGGAAAGCAAAGGCTTCTAATAACATTCACAAGTGGGAACATATATTCAACTTAAAATTCTAGCTAAAGTAACTCAACCCTTAGAATAGAGGAATACTCAACACTAAAACTAATAAAAGATTTTGCTAATAAAACAAAAGTAAAATTCTCAACTTCATGTACATATTGAACATCCAGATTAATATGAAGAAGATATAAAACACTCAGCTCAACATTGGATTGAGAATGAGAATCATAAGAGTCATTAATAACCAATGTGCCAAAAGAGAAAACATTAAAGATGAGGAAGAAATACTAGGAACATGAAAAAATGGTTTAGACTGATAAATAAAAGAAGGTTGAAAAAGAGTAAAAGGTAAAGAGAAAAGATTAGATGGCAAATTAAAAGTTTAATACATACCCTGTGAAATCTCCATTTCATCTCTAAAGTTATTTTTATAATAATCAAGCTTGTGAAAACGATCTGAAATCCATTCGAGCTCACACATATCGTCTTCCCATAAACTCAATTCTCAAATATTTTTCAACAACCAAACTACATCATTCATAGTTCACCAATCAATGTCACAATCATGCTCCATATCAACAAGAGATGGCAGAATACTGAGAACAAAACACCAAGAACAAAACAGGCTATGTAATCATGTCTCACAAAAGTTAGAGACGGCAACACACCAAAAATGGGCATAGCACCAAACCCCACAACACTAAAAGTTTAATCCAATAAAGTAATATAAACAATCTTAAGTGACATACTCCTTGATCAATGATGGTGTGGCATGGTAGAAGAAATAAATGCAATGAAGATAAGAAGAAAGAGAAAATCTATGCACATAGCTAAAAAATTTTGCTTTTCAAGGACAAATTACAGTGACTTTCACCTCCACCAATATAAGTGTTTAGGATATAGGAATAAATATATTAATTGGTTTAAACCTATACAAGAATGGATGAATAATATTATAATTAGTGTATTACCTAGCCAAGGTATATATGTATTTATAAACCTGAATTTTATTTATTTTATTTATTACATCTGAGATGAATGCTTTTATTTGTAAATGGTGGCCGTTGATGGTAGGGTTCCATTCCTGGTCGTCCAATTCCTACGGTCACAATTTAGAATCCTGGCCGTCCCATTTCAACAGTAGGTTTAAATCAAATTAAAATCCATGGAGAGAGCTGTGGACAGCACAACGTTTGAAATTGAGGGAATGGTTTGCATATCATGTCCTTAGTTTTTATCTCGGATGTTTTTCACACGACAACTCCATGGAGCTTTTGCTTGATGAACACTGCAATTGGATCAGCTGAGTTGAAGTCCCTAGACTTCAGATACTAAGTGGCTCTCTGGATCCATTGCGTAGTTTTTCTAGAATTTATGTTGGTCACACAGCTTTGTTTTGATATAGTGAGGATGGAACGCTCTTGGCTGCCACTACAAACGGTGGCAAAACCTTTGTGTGGGGGCTTTTGTTTGCGCATTCACTCTTAAGGCGATGCTCATGGCCGCAGCTCCATCTAGCGTCACGCAAAGCTGACAAAACAGTTTCCTTCGCTTACTGTTCTTCCTTTCGTTCGTGGCTCCCACGCCATAACCATTGCAAAGATTGGAACGCACAAGGGCTTCGAACGCATCCTTTCTAGGCCTTTGGCATTACTGGAATTGTAACTATTGCTTCCTTCCATCGATTTGCTTCTCACACAGGGTAATAACTCATCTCATGAACACAAGCCGGTAATAGTCACTTCTAGTCCTGGCAACTTTTTTTGTTTCCCAACAAGCCTTGAAGAAAACAAATAACTGTTTTTCTGAAGCAGCAAAGTTTAAATGCTACAAACACTCAGTATATGATCTTCCTTCCTAGCTTGGACTTACACCATCAATCGGTGTAGAAAGTTAGACAAAGCTCCGGAACCACCAGCAACCTCTGTTTTGTAAGATATCTCCTCTGCCTTGATGACGTTAGAGCCACCGTCCCTCCAGCCGATGAAAACCTGCCACCGAAGTTCTATCACTCCCGATGGGGATCATCACAGAGTGTTAAGCCACCGGCTTCAAGTTTAGATCCAAGTAGCTAGCCATGCCTGCGACAACTTCATCCCGTCCGATGCATTTGCATCGAAAGCTGGAACTCAGTGAGGCAGGAGCCCTCTCTTCCTCCTCCCCCACCTCCTCCTGATCACCGAGAGGAAGTAGAGGAAGAAGAGGAAGAGCAGCGCAACCAGCAGCCCAGCAAGGAATGGCAGAAGCAGCGGGGTTGCCGCCACAGCCGTCGCTTGCAAGTTGAGATCATTGGAGGAAGCCAGCTGAAGATATGCATTGCTGCTGCTGCCGCCACCTTCGCCTTCCAACAGCGAGTTCAGGAAGGCATCACTGCTGCTAATGCCTTCTCCTTCAAATAACTCGATGAAATCACTGGCACTGGCACTGCTACTGCTCACCCCAACGTCATACACTAAACTCTGAGAGCTCGATATTGAAGTCCCTTCAGCTTCTTGAAACGTTTCGGTGTTGATCCTCTTGGCCTTCGCACCATCCTCGCCCAAGCTTCGAGGGAACCACCGCCACATAAAAGGTGGTGGCGATGCTGGTGGTGGTGAAGCATTGCTGCTAGCCTCCTTACTGTCACCAGTGCCGCCAGCCAGTAACTTCTGAGATGGAAATCCTGTGGCTGCATGGGACTTTAGCACCTGTTCAATGTCCATTTCAGTACGAATATATCTTGTTCCTGTCAGCAGAGGCATACCTTGTAGGATGTCTCGTCGGCCATTGCTGCTGCAAGTTCTTCACTATTCTTGTATGGAAGCCTCCTGTGCGTTCTCACACCATCACCTCGCAAGCTCCGCCAAAAGACTGAAGCTGGTGTCGATGAAACATCACCTTGCCTCAACAACTTTCGAGATCCTGCTGCTGCATGAGACTTTAGCACCTGTTCAGCATAGATCTTAGTACGAATACATATCTGATTCCTGTCAACAGAAACATACCTTGTAGGATGACTCCTCGGCCATTGCTGCCGCAAGTTCTTGTCCTTCACTATTCTTGTCTGGAGGCCTCCTGTGCTTTCTCACGCTGCTAGTGCCATCGCCTCTCAACCTCTGCCAAAAGACTGAAGCTTGTTCTTCTCCATTTTGTTGTGCGCGCAGTGGAGCTATGAAGCCATCCACCCAGCGGAATAGAGAAGGTCCATTCTCGTTGGAGACGAAGATAGGAGGACCTGGCGCTGCTTCCAGAAGCATCCGTCGGGAACTGATAACTAGGAATCGATGCCACCCCAAGAAGTTCTTGAGTTCTTCCCATAATTCCTGGGACGTCACCTCGTCCTCCTCCAAGCCCGCATTCAAAAGCCTACTCCACATTTCTTCTTTTATCGACTGAAGAGTGGTCGGTAGCTTCCAAGTCCACTCTCCAACTAGCTGCCTAAGTTCCTCCACCTCCAGATGCATTTCGGCTCTGGACGGTAGCTGCACCGACGGGAATGTCCAGGTCCGAAAGTAGCTCTGGATATCCTCCCAGCTCAGGTTGTCGTCGTCGTCGTCGATTGCAAAGCCACCGAGAGAAGTATACCGAACTGAATCCACAGTGCCAACCATGTCCGCCTCTAGCTGCAAGAGAAGGTTGGTGCGGTTCCAGGCAAACCATCTAAGCCCTCGAGTTACCTCTTGCGAATCATGGTTTTCATCCTCGAGTACAGGTAATGGTGGTGGATCATACTTGGAAACACTTGATGCTGCCGCGTGACTGCTGGCGATAACTGCCTCGAGCTGCGAGGGTGGTGCTGGCGAGGACGAATCCTCCAGCTCGATTGGAGCAACCGGCTGCAAGAGAAGATTAGCTACATCTGGAGTTACCTCTTCCAAGTCATGCTCGTCATCCTCTTCCAGTACAGGTGCATCATACTCGGGAACACTTGATGCTGGGCCACTGCTGGCGATCACTGCCTCGAGCTGCGAGGGCAGTGCTGGGAAACCCTCCGCTTTCTTGTCCGCTGTTGCGGCAGGAGTCTGCCCGCACGCGAAAAATGTCAAGGAACAAGAAAAAATGACAGAAACGAGCGAACTGTGCACACCTCAAGGAGGAGGACCTTCAATCCTGTTGCCTGTGTGCTTGCTTGTGTGCTTGCCTGTGCTGGAGCGCGTCGCAACCAGGAGAACGCCAATGCTAGAGCTTCCATCGCCGCCAATATAATAGGGCAGGGTTACTATGTAAAATATCGATTTAGAAGATCGTGAGAGACGAGGAATATTATCGAAGGAATATATGTAAAGAGATTTGCTTGGATCTCAAGCAGCTCGCGAATCTGAGGATCATCAGCGGCCTTCTTTCTGGCATCCCGCGTCTTCTACTGCTAATCTTAGGAAAACCTCATTTCTTGTTTCGGCAAAAACGTCACCAATGGCGATCAATAGAAAAGAACCTCAAAAAACGCTGCGGACAGGATGCATGCCTCGCATTTTTCCAAAAGTGCAACTAAGTTTCGCTCTTCTTTGCCTTTCCATGGATGAGACCTTGGTAGACGTCGCCATTTGCATAGTAAAACGTATTGGTCTTGCCTTGGACCCAATTTCCGTCCTAGAGATCGTCCATCGACCTTGGAAACGTAGAATCACGCGACGGAAAGAGAAGAAGAGATTTACGATCGTTACTTCATTCATTTCCGGTGTCCTCCTCCACAACGTCCTTTATACGAACCCCCTTGAAAGCACATCTCCACCGATACTCGTTTTCCTGATTAAGAACAAACCAAATGGAAGCTTACGCAGCTCGTTGCGACAGAGACTGCGCTGACCTGTTGCTATTTCTGTCTTGGATCGCGTCGATTCCCATCCTTCGAACGCCGTTGTTAGGCACTGCAGCAGGGTCATAAGGCAACGGTTGCACCTTGTTTGCTTCGTGTGGTTCCATGTAGCTGTTTGCTTGTGCTTGCTGGATTTCTCGAACTCAACCAAGCTGCCGAGGCTCTGATTTTGATGCAGAACGGTGAATGTGGGAGTCACGGTAGTGCATTTCATCCTTTCGTGCTCGCTTTGATTTGCATCAGTTCCGTAATCATGTTGAGGCGAGCGCCCGATAGCCCAAGGATCTGAGCAGAACCGAATGGTAGTAAATGAATGAAGTAGAGAAACGTATCTTACCATTCCTGATATAGAGAATTCAGTAGTTCCATCACCTGTAAAAGACGGTGGCAATTGTCAGAAACTGGAAGCAATGTCGCAACTTACAGATATCAGTCTCTTCTTAGTAATGTCTCGTGAACCTCACATAACTTGCAAACATGATGGGTCTTCTTACCGAGAAGCAAGTCATCAGCAGCTTTAAGAGTATAAGAGCAAACAAGACCGAAATGACAGCTTATTAAGAAAGACTTACTTTCGCCAGATGGTTTCGTGGCAATACAAAACCCGAGACCACCACCGGTGCGCACAACCCTGAGTTTGGCACATACTGCGTCCAACCCTTGACACAAAGAACATTAAAAACATGCCCTTCAAATGGAAAATTACTCGTACAAACATACCAACACAATCGCAGCTTCCACAGTTGATGGATTTTCAGCCTGAGCAAAGCAATGTTTCACGGAAACGAGTAAAGGAGAGATAATTTGTTCGCAAAGGGAAAAAAAACAAAGGAGAGAAGACTGTTGCAACTCACGAGCTCCACAATTCTGCCCGTGACGATTCTAGCTTGGGATGTTTCTCCTTCTCTTGTCTAGAACCAACCACTCTTCTCTCTAAATACCTTCAAAACACAGGAATCACGCAACCGCACTCCACTGAGCAGTAAAAGATCAATGACACGGGTATGGCTGCAAACACAACTTTAGCCTCATCAAGATGCCTTTCTTGGGTATTTGCTGCAAGTATAGACGTCCAATGTTACTACATCCTTCTCAGGCATTTTGACATAGATATATTTTCCCTCTCGGAGTTTCAAGTTTAAGATGTATTCATCGAACATGATGCTACAGAAGACCAAATTTCGATCAAAGCCCTGATCAAACATCGCCGTTGCCTCGTCCAGATGCCCGTTTCGGGCATACGCTGCCAGCATCGCCGAGAAGCTCACTAGGTTCCCAGAATTCAATCAAACACCGTCTTTGTGAACATGACAAGCCCATTTCTAAAAAAGATTCTATTGATGTTATAGCTCACATTTTGAATGCTCGTTCTTGGGATCTACTGCCGTTGATGGTAGGAAACCAGTCTTGGCCGTCCAATTCCAACGGTCATAACCTAAATTTTGAAACCATCGACATTGGAAGCCCTAATTCTACAGGGAGGAAAGGTGGCGTTGTGGATTGACTGAGATCTGCTAGTCCTCGAGCAAATCGGCGCAAAACAATTTTAGTACAACACGTTTTTCAACTGTCAAACGTTGCTGCAGGTGGAGGACCATAGCCAGCAGATCGGCTCCAATTTCACCGCTAGATTCGGGTGTAAATAGTATACAGAATCCAAGCGAGCGGTCTTAGACTGACATTGTCCAATACATCCATATATTCAAACGATTCATGCAAGGGTCGACACCGTCTAGGCCTTGTCTACACAAGTACATCTGCCAGCAATATCACGCTAGTAGACCTGAGCCGAGAACAGCTTGGTCTCGAGGGCGACTTCGCTCCAGGGAACATGGCCAGCTCGTCAAATTGTTCTTGAAGTCGTTGCCTCGGCTTTGACATTCTTTCCATTCCTGGCAGAGGAAGAGGCCCGAATCGATCATGCGCGGGCTGCGCGCCACTCGCGCGTGGATGATCTTGGCATCCGGAAGTGTCGTATAGCCCTAGGAGGGCAATGGCGCAGAGCAAGAGGCCGAGGGTGCAGAGCGAAGTCGTGAAGAGGCCAAGGACTCGCAGTCAACCCGAACAGGAGCCGAGATCGAGCTAGAGCGGTACAATCTCGACAGGTCTGGCTATCGTTTGCCATACAAGGGCCCGAAGCTTTAAAAAGCCTCTTCAAGGCACGTGGATCTATGGACAGGTTTGTTTCCTAGTCTCTGTGTTTGACTTGTAACTCGTACAGCTCCCGGGCCAGAAGTACTACTGCTGGACTCTAGTGCACTCTTAATCGATGAAAATAACATTAGCACCTAAAACTATAAAAGAAAAATTAAACTTAGTGAACCAAAAGTAGCAGTGATATCAGCGAATGGCCTCCAAAGCCAAGTATTCTCTCGGACGACGAGTACGAGCAACTCAAAGATTGGGATTGTCCGAGGGTGCCAATCCCCCTTTGTACTGAGTGTGATATTGGAAACGGTTGAGCACCTGGCTCAAGCGATGTTAAAGGGGTCGTGGAATAAAATCCTATGGTCGTAAACTGCATGGCAAATGACCAGAGAAAGTTCGATAAACGCATCTGAAAGATTCTCTGGAATAAAGCAATTTTGGAGACGCGAATACTACAAAAGCAATTAGGGCATTGTCGAAAAGCTTGTACAGATTAGGGCTACTCAAATGCAAAGCGAGGGATTTGAGAGGCCGAGGACGCGCAGCCATGGTCCTGTTCGACGAACTGCGCAGGAAATCGAGCTAGAGGAATACAATTTGGATAGATCTGGATTTCGCCTTCCCTACGACGGTCCCAAGCTCACGAGACCCCTTCAGGGAGAATGGGGATATAAAGAGGTAATTCTTCTGGTCCTGGCATTTGATTTGATCTAGTCTATACAGCTTCCACGCCACAAGCTCTACTACTGGACTCCAAGCGAGTGGCCATCCAAGCCAGATTTTCTGTCGGATGACGAGTACAAGCGCCTAAAAGAGGGGTGGAAACATCCCAATGTCATGATCCCTTATTGCACGGTGGACGACGCAGTGATCGAAGCGATTGACATAAAGGTAGATTACATGGCCCGAGCAATGCTAAACGGGTGGAACACACCCTGAGTTTGTGCATCCGCCAGTTTTAATCGCTCTCTTATGTCTTAGTAAGTTCAACCAAGAGTGAAAGAAGATATGTCGAAACCATGCTCTTCTCATTATGTGGAGTTTGCCGCAAAGAATCCCGAGAGCTAATTGAAAATAAGCTCCTGAGCACCAGCGACGCGACTGTAGAGACAAGCAGCGAGATCGCCGAAAACATGCAGTGACGGTACTTCAATAGAACAGTCATGACGCGTTTCTCAGTACTGGAACAGGACTTCGCTTAAAAATCCATGACTCGCTGGACAAGGACACTGTGGTAGTCTTTTCGAAACTTCTGAAGAGCTCGTCTCAGCCGTGTTCGCATTATTGCTTCGTCCATGACTTCATAGCGTGACAAAGGGACGGTTCCGTGCTGGCTGGGTGTTCCATGCTGCTATGGCGTCTCTGAAGATCACGGTCAATTGTCCATAGGACACATAGTTGACGACTGTCTATAAAGAGTAGCTAGCTTGAAATTGAGTACCGTTAAAACAAGCATGATGGAGATAATCTCATTGACATACGCCTGTCTCGAAATAAACTTGGCAGCAGGATCCGCTGCAGAACACCTGCCAGAGCTTAAGACGTCATGACGAGACTTAAAAGCTTACCAATGGCACACCCGAAAAACTTTGGCAGCGAAGAAAGATGTCTCGGAGGCAGCTGCCGCCGAAGCTACAGATGATTCAAAGGCATTGTCTTTGCGCTGTCGAGATTGTTTATCTCGCAAAAACTCGGATTCTTTCCCAAAGTTCACGGCAGCTTTTTCATCGTTCTCAAGGCACTTTGCAAACGTTTGGCAAGCACATCTGTAACTCGTAAATAAACACACAGCACACGTGATTTCATGTGAAAAACATATAGAGCAAAACTTACTTGCATCACTGAGCATTGTTTGATTGTAGCCAGTTAAGCCCTGTATAGTTTCTTCCGGTTCATGGATTGGCAATGCACTGGCAACGGCTGCAAGTTAACACTCTCCTAATGAAGTAGTGATTGCTGTCTCGCAAGCTCCCATCAGTGTTGACAGAGCACGGGCAGTGGCTCAATGCTCAATGCGGTGCTGATGCTCTGCAAAGTTCACGTAAGGATTCAGCACCAGATGCCTTCGCTGTAACACCGAAAGAACAAAGCGAGTGAAGGACAAAACTTATAACGAGACAACGAATTACCATCAGGAACAGCAAGAGCTGCAAGACTGTAGTTCACAGCTTTCTCAAGTGCTGCAGGATCGGCAGAAATCCATTCTGAGAAGCTTTTGACTAGTCTTGCAGCCGTCTTGAGAAGCTTCCCAGACGGCCATCATGCATTTGACAGGTACGATTGGTCTGCAGATATTGGTAGCTGAAGCCACGAATGCTTTGGAGGAGACATCTTCTGGAATCAGGTATAGCCCCGGAAAACAAACTTCTCGAAAGCTATACGCCAGGCTTTTGCGTGTCAACAACGGAAGTAAGCTGATATCGTAGACAAGAAACTGCATACGGATAGAATTCCGCGTGCTGCCAACAAGGCTTGTAGTAAATATTCAGAAATATACACTAACCTTACCTTGAAACAGGAAGCAATAGCTATAAATCTATAAGGAGATAGAGTCGTTTCGAGGCTGCTGCTGCTGCTGCTGGAGGATCCCAGGTTCTTTTTTTCTTTCTTCTTCATTCTTTGCTTCTAGTTTTGATCTTTCATTTTCTAGCTGGTGCCAGATGCAATCGACATGACAAACGAGGAAGCGATATCTCTAGCGTTAGAGCTGTTGATCGCGCTCGCGGAAGAAACAGTACACAGGTCTCAAGTTCTTGCATTCTCCTCTTCTCTTTTTTTCTCGCGAGCTAATGCAAAAACTGTCAGCAGCGGTATATTCGCTTAAACCATAGGGGTTTTAAACGAGTCCACTAGCAAAGTTTTGGTGTTCCTTGGAATGCTGGTTCTCGGCGTCGATGGTATGTTCGATCCAAGCCATCTTCCTTTCTTCCCCTCGACTAGATCGCGGAGCGTCACGAATCCTTGGGTGGATGATTAGCATTGCTTCAGCAAATCGAGGCTCTTGCGCTCCATCAGGCAGGAAGAAATCGCCCTGCGAGAATAATTCACTCCAAGCTCCGGTGGATTCTTCTTTGCGATCTCGAGGAGGACAGCATCCACCACGGGCGCGTGATCTATGGCACTCTCTGCGCGGAGCCCTTCCGCGGCAGGGGCGTGATGAGCGTGCTCGAGTCGGAGCTTGGCGGTGTGGGTTTCCATCCACGGCATGGCGCAGCACATACGCCGCTGGGAAGATCATCGCGATCAAGGAACCACGTTTCAAGCGCGGCTCCACTGACGGCGTTCTCTTCATCCGCGTGGATGATCCCAGCTCCATCCAAGATATCTCGAGCTTTGCCGCGAGTGACACCACTTCTTCTCGGCCAGGAAATGACTACGCCGCCGCCAACTCTCTCAAGGCCGAAGGGAACCACTTCTTTGGCCTCAAGAACTGGAGCAAGGCCATCGATCTCTACTCCCAGTGCGTCAAGAGGTGTGAGGCAGCGTTGGCGCGCGGATCCATTGCCGGCGACATGGAGAACGCCCTCAGGGTGGGAGTTTTGCTGCCATCGGGCCCTGAGACTCGACGCTCTGGCGGATTCAAACAACGTGCTCAAGATCGATGGTGGCCTGTCAAGAGCACAAGTCGAAAGGCCCGAGCGCTGGAAGGCTTGCAAGAGTTTGAAAAGGCTGTGCACTGGCTCGAGAAGGCGCTGGAGCTCTCTCCTGGCTCGTCCACGCGCATGCTTGGCGCTTGCAAGGCTTGCGACCAGCAGAGCAAGACTGGGGAGTTGGACATCGATATTTTCCTGCTCCAGGAGAACTTAGATCCCGCCCCGAAATGCAGCGACTTCGTTGGGCCCGTGGAGCTCATCGCTGCCGATTTCGACGACAGTGGATGTGGAGTCAGGCTCTTTGCGACCAAAGATGTGAAAGCTGCCGAGCTTCTGGTCGTGAGCAGGGCTCTCGCTACTGGGGACTACAAGACGACTGCCGAGCCTGGATCGCTAGAGGTGGCAATGGCCGAGAAGCAGCAGGTCCTTTTGGAGCCAGCGCTGCTGAAGCTGGGGAGATTGAGCAGCGGGCTCTGGAGATGAGCCAACAACGGGATGGTTTGCGAGGACTTGCTCATGTGCGAGAAGCTGCCAGCGTTTAGCCGTAGGCAAGTGAAGAAGATCGTCAAAAGCCACAGCTTCTCCAAGGAGATGGCACCGTTGACGTTCCAAGGCTGTGGGGCTGCCATCGCTCATGCGGCACTAGTGCGTGAGCAACGTTTCTCTGGTTCAAGTTGGCGATGCCATGTTTGCTCACGCCGCTCGGCCGGCGACGAGCTCTTCCTCAGGTACTTCAACACCATGCAGCCTCTCCGGGTCCGGCAGGCCTCTTGAGATTTGCGTGCCGCTGCAAGCGGTGTCTGCTCGAGAGCTCTCTCAAGACACTTCTGCGGGGCAGGGAGGAAAGCTTCGAGGACGTGATCAGCAAGATCCAGTCCAAGTCAATCAAGACTGGTGCTGGTCTGGAGCTGAGAAGAAGCTCCAGTTGGTCGATGGCGATGAGCACAAGTGCTGGCTGCGAGCTTCGTACACCCTCGCGTACTTCGTTGCGGCTGTGTACTTGGAGCTCCTCGTGAACTCTCCCGAGAGGATTTGCAGTGGCAAGGAGCTGCTAAAGTTCGTGGAGGCGACTTGTCCAGGCCACTACACGGTGCTGGAATTCATGGCGACGCAGGTAGGAATGACGATGATGTTTGGGAGGGGCGAGGAGCATGGCAATGGATTCGAGGCTGGGCTTCTCGACGAGGAGCTTGTGATGTGAGTTCACAGGGCCACTGTTGGTAGCAGGAAGTGTGATCTCAAGGACGTGGTAAAGGTCTGGTACAACCATGTTCAAATGGTACGTTCATCTCCTCTTTGTTTCTCTTTGGTTGAACTACCATGAGTGTTGCGGACTCCAAGCATTTCGTTTCATGACAACGATTTCGTTCGATCTTATATTGGCGTGGAATTTGGATTTCTAACGAGTAGAAGGTCTCAAGTTTTTTGAACAAGCACGACCTCAGATGATAGGTTATTCGATCTACACCAGCGCATTTTGATATGGTTACGGATTTTAATGTTCCAGTCTCTTTGGTTACTATGGTAATATTTCCGAAAGAACTACTTTGATTTATTGTCATCTCGTCTCGTATGATAGCGCAAGAAGGTCAATCGGGGATTGACGCTGTCGTTTGCGATGCGGCAAATCAGAGCGAAGAAAATGCTGCTCGCCAGGAGAGTCGGAGTTTGATACCATCGGGCAGGCAAGCTCAGGAAATATGGGGAATTTCTTAGCTCACCCGGGCAAGAACAAGGGAATCACGGACCTCATTTTCTCAAGGGGAGAAACCTGGAGCAGCTCCAAGCTCAGGATAGTCGTCGATCTCTGACAAGCTCCGTCCCATTCTTATATCCTGGAGAATCTGAATCGCAAAGCTCGTGAAAGTGTCCACCGAGAAATTGAAGAAGTCCAAAAGAGGTTTGAATCGTAGTCTATATTAGCATATTTTTATTTTTAATTATCTCGACTGTTTTATTAAATTTTAATTTTTTATTCATTTAGAGTTAACCAGAAGGTCAATATTAAAAATAAAACTAATCTAGGCTTAGAAAAATTAAGGCTTTTCAATGTCGAGCTCTAAGAGGCGCGGCTTTAACAGGCAAAGCAAGAGGCCGAGGACGCGCAGCCAGGGCCCTGTTCGACGAACTGCGCAGGAAATTGAGTTGGAGTTATACAATTTGGATAGGTCTGGATTTCGCCTCCCCTACGACGGTCCGGAGCTCACGAAACCTCTTCAGGGAGAATGGGGATATAACGAGGTAATTTTCTTTTTCTGGTCCTGACATTTGATTTGATCTAGTTCATGTAGCTTCCGCGCCACAAGCTCTACTACTGGACTCCAAGCGAGTGGCCATCCAAGCCAGCTTTTCTGTCGGATGACGAGTACAAGCGTCTAAAAGAGTGGAAACGTCCCAAGGTCATGATCCCTCTTTGCACGGTGGACGATGCAGTGCCCCAAGCAATTGAAGAAACGGTAGATTTCATGGGCCGAGCGATGCTAAACGGGTGGAACACACCTTGAGTGTGTACATCTAACTATGTTTTAGTAAGTGCTATCATGTTTGCGGATCAATCAGTCAAGCTGTAATGCTCGAAAATCAAAACGATGCTTTGCTAGAGAATTCCCGAGAGCTAGACATTCTTTGTAGATTGCTCGAGAAGATCACAAAAACCCATGCCTGAATGCAAAGCTACACGGCAGCTCCACTCAAACAAGACCGAGCTTGCTTGAGCTTGTTTGCGATTTGAGTGTCTTCAACCCGATCGGGCTATGGTGTGCCCAGGAGGACCCCTTGGAACGACCAACGATGCCTCTGGTAAAAATGCTTGAAGGCGCCATGGATCTTTAGCGTTAGTAGCAGTGGAGCCTATCTGGGTCTCAGATTTGTTTCACACATTCCAATTTTTTCGTTGTTCCTCGTTCCGCAAAACTTGGTTCAGGTTAAAAGATCGCGTTTGGGTATCTGGGAGAGAGTACTTAAAAAGTTCATTCCCACCACACGGAAGTTCCTTGTGATCAGGAAATCCAGAAGCATATCAAAGGAGCAATCGATGTCATGCAAAAAGCATCGTGGTTATGGTATGTATTCTGTGGAATAGATGGGGAAATAAAAGTCTCAGCAATCCAGTGGGCTACGCTAGCACTTCTAAGCCATCTGAAGTTTGGTCGTCGTTGACTGATTACTTTGGATTGATTATCTTCTAGCAATCATGTTCCACCCATTCTCGAGAGATGAAACCATCCTCAGGCTTATAGCTTTCAAGTGAGAACTTTTTAGAAGCAAAAGACCATGGCGGAATCTTATTGGCTATAATGGTTTGTTCCAATAGAACAAAGCACTAGCTTTAATTTTAAATGATCTATCTCTTTTCCATAGAAAAGCTACATCATCATCATTGAGGACATAGATGATGATGGAAATGTTCTGTCGAGAAACGTATACAGCCCTCCTCCCAGAAGCAAGGCTCCACTACAAAACCAGCACGAAAGAGGTGTAAATACATATAAAAAAAATTCCGTACCTGGTAGGATTGATCCATGCAGAAAACTTCCGAAGCGCTAAAAGTTGCTGCAAACTCTGTGTTAGCAAAGCAAGCCTGATTGAAATGAACGAAATCGAAAAAACCTGAAGAGCACCAGCAAACGATGCTGCGAGTAGCAGTGGTGCGACATAGCCGCTTGTATAGACAAGCAGCAATGCACCGCCAGTCACCGGGTCCTGGAAAAGAGAAACGAAAGAATTATGCTCCTATAGAACTCTAAGGAAAGCAAACAACCAAGTCACACCTGGGAAGCTGCGACATAGCCGAGTAGAGTCGCAAGAACAGGTGTGCTGCACGGAGAGGCCGCGAGAGCAAACGTTAAGCCGGCTAGATAGGCCTGAACACCTGGAGAGATGGAAGAAATCAGTGGAAGTTTATTCTATGTTTAAAGCAGCACGAACTTGTGGGAAGATTGGCAGCAGCAGAGCGAGGATCGAAGTTTCCGAAGAACGATGGCAGTTGCAGCTCAATAATCTGTTGATCATGGAAAGCTATATTAGCGATTGTATGGTTTATAAGCAAAAGTTTGATCACCTCGAGAAGGTTGAGTCCCATAAGCATGGCCAAGCAGGAGACACCGATTGGAAGGCCTTGCCCGATCTGCCCGTAAGCCTTTCCAGCGAGCGATGCCACAATCCCCAGGACCGCGAGCGTTGTCGCCAATCCCATCGAGAATGCAAAAGCATCCACCGCGATCTAAACTTTCCACGAGAGAAAAAAAAAGAAGATCAAAGAGAGAGCCAGAGTTTCTTACCTGCGCTTGACTCTTCCCTGACCCCGATGATCCTAGAGTAGTGATAGAGAAAGAAAAAAAAAATTCAATTTTTCTTGTCAAGAAACTCACGAAAGTTACCAATGTAGCCGAGCGTCAATGGTAGAACGCTGAGCGTGCATGGCGAGAGGCTCGTCACAAGACCCGCTCCAAAGATGGTTGCGACGCTGGAAAATCAATCCAAAAAGCTTATAGATTTCTCGAGAAAAAAATTTCTACCTCGCCAGAGAGAGGGCCGATAATTCCCCTTGCACCGCACTGTTTGCGTCCTGGCCCGCGTTGAAGAGCAAACCACTGAGCCAATCCCCAGCACTCCAGGACGATGCGTCGGCTACCAGCGCTGGAGCCAATTGGATCAAATCGCTACAACCCACCTGGAAACCAATCGATTGATCCAGAAGAGCCAAAGAGAGAAAAAACGAGAGAGAGAATCACCGCAGCACAAGCCACACCACGGCGCCTCGTGTTGATTCGATTTCCTTCCCATGGCTTTCCAACGCAGCTTCGCTTTCTCAAAAGAGCTCCAAGCTGAGAGCCGGTACAAGCTTGAGCAGCCATAGCCAATATGAATCTCGCTTTTAACTTGTATGATAATAGCTAAGATAGAAAAGAAATGAATCAGTTTTATTGCATCTCTAAACTTCTACGCACAGAATCCGGAGTTAAGTAGCTTTGGCCATAGCTTTGGCCATAGCTTTGGCCATATGGAGTACAAGATCGACGACACGGTTGCTGCAAAAAAGAAAAAAAGTGAAGATCAACACCAGAAACTGCGACAAAATCCTCCCACCTGTAGCCCCATTCGTTGTCATACCACGCAACCAGCTTTACAAAGTGGTCGTTCAAGGCGATTCCAGCGCTGGCGTCGAAGATGCTCGACCGGCTGTCACCAATGAAATCGGTCGACACTAGAGCGTCCTCCGTGTAGCCGAGAATGCCCTTGAGATTCCCCTCAGACTCGGCCCTGTCAAAGGTTTTAGTTGGAGAAACTAAGCTTTTCCTTGCATGAACTTACTTCATTGCCTGCTTGATCTCCTCGTAAGAGGCGCCCTTCTCCAAGCGGACAGTAAGATCCACGACGGAAACGTCTGGAGTTGGGACCCGGAAGGCCATTCCAGTGAGCTTTCCATTCAGAGCAGGCAAAACCTTGCCCACGGCCTAGAGAAACAAAACAGTCATTCCGACGAGAACTTTACAGAGCAGGAAGATTACCTTGGCGGCTCCGGTTGAGCTCGGGATGATGTTGAAGCCAGCACCCCTTCCACCACGCCAATCCTTGGACGATGGCCCATCGACAGTCTTTTGGGTTGCTGTTTCCACAAGCGTCAACCAAGTGATTGTAACAAAAGCATAAAAATACTAACCAGTTAGTGAGTGCACAGTGGTCATGAGGCCCTCCACGATGCCGAACTTGTCATGGATGACCTGGAGAAGATTATCAGAAACATCGAACAGTCGAGAAACTTTGACGGAAAGACAATGGAAGCTCGCAACACACCTTCGCAAGAGGCGCAAGACAATTGGTAGTGCAACTCGCGTTGGAAACGATGTCCATATCGTCCTTGTATTCGCTCTCGTTCACACCCACGACGAACATTGGCGCATCCTTGCTAGGAGCGGAGATGACCACTTTCTTCGCTCCACCCTATGAAAGAAAAACCAAGCATGAAAACTCGATCTCCATCGAAAAGCTTGGTGAAAGTTTCTAAAGCTTACCTTGAGATGGGCCGAGGCCTTTTCCTTCTCAGTGAACACGCCAGTGGATTCCACCACGAAGTCAGCACCCAATTTCCCCCATGGGATATCTGCGGGATCCCTGTACGGAAAAGAGCACGGAAGAGAGTCAATGGAGGGAGACGTGTTCTTCTTACTTGCAAGCGAAGGCCTTCACGGGCTTGCCGCCAAAGGAGAGCGTCTCGGAGTCCTTGACCTCCACATCCTCCCTCTTCCACTTTCCATGGACGCTATCGTACTTAAACATGTAGGCCTGGGAGAAAGAAATCCAAGCGATTGGAGAGGGGAATCCACCAAGAACAGCGAATGTTACCATGTAATCCGTGCTGATGAATGGATCGTTGACTGCCACGAGCTCGATGTCGTCGCGAAAGAGCGCGACGCGGGCCACAAGCCTGCCGATCCGGCCAAATCCTGCAAGGAAACAGCGATCCAGTGACGATCGATCGATCGATCGATCGATCGTGACGGCGTACCATTGATTCCAAGCTTCACCTTGTTGCCTTCGGAACCTGAGAAAAGCAGAGAAGATCGGTCGTCAGCGGCTGGCCTAGCATTGGATCGGGGCAAAGAAATTCCATACCCATTGCAAGAGGAAGGAGAATATCACGATCGCGAGAGGAGAGAGTAAAAGGGTTTTTCGTGGGAGAACTTTTAGCTGGTCAATAAAAACCTAGAAGGCCACGCGCTCATTTCTAAGGCCTGCCACGTAAGCATACGTGGCATGCAGCTATTTTCGCTTACTTAAACCCTATTATTTTGGCGGCCAGGTTTCGATTCCAGCGAACCTTCCTTAGAATGTAACCGGAAATAGAAGAAATGTAAAAAATAAGCCCTAAGAGAATATTCTAAGGATCATGAATCGTGGCCGCTAGATGCGATCGACGGCTGGTGTGTTTGCTAGGTCAGGATTTTGCTCGACGGCTAGGGTTTAGGGGGATTTTGGACAGGGGCGGAGGAGCGCGGCGCCGCCATGAGCCACCGGAAGTTCGAGCATCCCCGGCATGGATCTCTGGGCTTCCTTCCCAGGAAGCGTGCCCAGCGCCATCGCGGCAAAGGTATGTGTGCTCGTTTTCTCGATTTCTCTTCTCCCGAATTTCATACATTTTCTCTTGGTAGTGAAATCCTTCCCTCGGGATGATCCTACGAAGAAGCCCCATTTGACAGCCTTCATGGGATACAAGGCCGGCATGACTCATATCGTCCGGGAGGTCGAGAAGCCAGGATCTAGTAAGTCCGCTGTTCTTCCCATTTCGAGAGCTAAATTTCGCGTTCATTTGCCCAGAGCTCCACAAGAAGGAGACCTGCGAGGCTGTGACCATCATCGAGACACCACCGCTCATTATCGTCGGAGTGGTGGCGTACATTAAGACTCCTCGCGGCCTGCGCTCTCTCAACACAGTCTGGGCTCAGCACTTGAGCGACGATCTCAAGAGGAGGTTCTACAAGAACTTCTACAAGTCGAAGAAGAAGGCGTTCACCAAGTACGCGAAGAAGTATGACACCGACGAAGGAAAGAAGGGCATCGAACACGAACTGGAGCGTATGAAGAAGTACGGCTCTGTGATCCGCGTCCTCGCTCACACCAAGGTATGAAAACTCTCGATCCAGAAACAATTGACTCGTGCTAATGTTTGAGAACTATCTCCAGGTTCGCAACCTCAAGGGCATCAAGCAGAAGAAGGCCCATCTCATGGAGATTCAGGTGAACGGAGGCACGACCGCGGAGAAGGTTGACTTTGCGTATAACTTCTTCGAGAAGGCCGTGCCGATCGACAGTGTCTTCCGCAAGGATGAGATGATTGACGTGATCGGAGTCACCAAGGGTCACGGCTACGAGGGTGTGGTGACGAGATGGGGAGTTACCAGGTTGCCCCGGAAGACTCACAGGGGTCTACGAAAGGTTGCATGTATCGGAGCGTGGCATCCAGCTCGCGTTTCCTTCACGGTTGCCAGGGCCGGTCAGAACGGGTAAGTTTTCACAGTTGGTTCTCTCGGATTGTCCTAAACTTTGTTCTATATTGTCGCAGTTACCATCACCGTACCGAGATGAACAAGAAGATCTACAAGATCGGCAAGCAGGGGCAGGACTCTCACAAGGCAAGCACGGAGTTCGACACGACCGACAAGGATATCACGCCGATGGGTGGCTTTGCGCACTACGGTGTTGTCAACGAGGATTATATCATGATCAAGGGGTGCTGCATGGGCGTGAGGAAGCGCGTCATCACTCTCCGCCAGTCCTTGTGGAAACAGACTTCTCGCAATGCTCTGGAGGATATCAAGCTCAAGTTCGTGGACACCTCCTCCAAGTTTGGACACGGCCGCTTCCAGACATCGCTGGAGAAGGCCAAGGTTTTTGGAAAGGTCAAGGCTTAGAGTGGAAGAGCCTTGGTTTGTTTCTCTCTCTCTTAAAATTTTGCTGATCTGTCGTCCTTATCTATGAAATCTCGAACTCATTCGGACATGAGAGTCAAAGAAAAGTCAATGAAAGTCAATTGCTGACTGGATTTTGGATTTTGGATCTCACGAAATTTCAACCGTCCACTTGGACATGCAATTTCAGCCGTCCATTGGCTTGCAATGGAAGGAGACGAAGCACGGCGATGGGGATGGCGATGGCGAGATTGCTTTAGGCGCTTTTCGGCTGCGATCGTGCAGAGATGCCGGGGATCTGTCGCAATGCCGTGCAATTCACGCGGAGATCTTGGAGAGCTCCTTCCACCGCAACAAGTTCCTGCGCAATCTCCTCGTCGAGGCGTATGGCAGCTGCGGGAGCGTCCCGAGCGCGCGCCTGGTGTTTGATTCCATCGACCGCCCCAATCTCTTCTCGTGGAACATATTGATCAAGGTCTACGCCGGCAATGGATTCGCGCGGGAGGCACTGGAGATCTATGCGCGGATGCAACGCGACGGGACTCTCCAGCTCAACGCACACACGTATGCCACAGTTCTGGGTGTTTGCTGGGATCTGGAGCTGGGAAGAGAGATCCACTCCAAAATCCCGGAAGCTGGGCACGAATCTAACGAAGTTGTGGCAAATGGGCTCATCACGATGTACGCGAGATGCGGCAGCGTGGAGGAATCGAGAGCCGTCTTTGATAAAATCTGTGATCCCAATGTAGTCTCTTGGACGAGCATGATCACAGCGTATTCCCAAAACGGGCATTTAGAGGAGGCGAAAGAGCTGCTGGATAGAATGCCGGAACCCAAAACCTATGCTTGCAATGTTCTAATCGCTGCACTCTGCGAGAGGGGTTTCATGGATCGAGCTAAGGATATATTTGATTCTCTGCCAGATCCTGATGTGGTGTCTAGAACCTCGATTCTTGTAGCATATGCCCGGTTTGGGCATCTGTATGAAGCGAGGCAAGTATTTGATGACATGAATGAGAGGAATGTTGTTTCGTGGAATGCGATGATCACTGGATATACACAAACGGGATTCTTGAGAGAAGCTTGGTATTTGTTTCAGAAAATGCCGATTAAAGATACCGTCTCGTGGACGACCATGCTAACAGCATATGCCCAAAGCAAGAACTTGCGAGCAGCGAAGGAACTCTTTGATAAGATGGGAACAAAAGATCTTGTCTCGTGGAACGCGATGCTTGGGGCGTACTCTCACAGCGGTGTTGTTGTGGAGGCTAAAGATCTGTTCGATCAAATGCCAGAGAAAGATACCGTGTCCTGGAACACCTTGCTTGGAGCATATGCTTTGCATGGGCATATTTCTCAAGCCGAGGCCCTCTTTGCCGAGATTCCATGCCCGAATCCAATTTCCTGGAACACCATGCTCACGTCGTACGCATTCAACGATAGATTACAAGATGCCGAGTTGATGTTTGAGAGAATGAGGGATAAAAACGCGGTGTCCTGGAATATCCTGATCGCAGCATTTGCCGAGAAGGGGCAAGCGAAGAAGGCGATTGCGTTGGTCGTGAGGAAAGATCTGGAGGGATATCCCACAGACAAGTATACGCTTATTGGGATCTTCGATGCTTGTACGAGCTTGGGTGTGGCGGAAGATGGCAAGGCAGTCCATATGAGCGTTGTCGAGGCGGGCATCTTGTTTGACGATGCAGTTGGCGAGAGTCTCATCAACATGTACGCAAAGTGTGGCAGCCTGGACGACGCGAGAGCCCTCTTCGATAAATCCTCGAAGAACTCTGTCGACATCGCGGCGTGGAACTCGTTCATGGCCGCTTGCTCCACCGCCGGCTCTGGAGCCGAGGCGCTGGAGATTTTCCGGACGCTGGACCAGCACGGCCTTGAGCCGGACCACATCTCGTTCGTGAGGATTCTCTCAGCTTGCAGCCACGCCGGGATGATAGAGCACGCCAGGAGCTACTTCTCGTCCATCCCGGGGGACTATCACTCGGGAGTCACGATGGATCACTACCTGTGCATGGTTGACATGCTGGGTCGATCCGGGCGATTGAAACAAGCCCGGGAGCTGCTGGATTCCATGCCGTTTGAGCCCGACGTTATCGCATGGATGACGCTCCTCTCCGCTTGCAGTAACCACGGTGACACCACAGGTGGGATCGTGTCTGCTCGCCGGATAATCGAGCTCGAGCCCCAGACTAGCGGTCCATTCATCCTCCTCTCAAACATCTACAAGCAACTTGGGGGAACTCGAAAATCCGCCTTTTAACATCATTTGGTTCAAATAATAATAATGTAAAGAAGTGCACTGTGGCTCATTAGAAATATTTCCTTTTTAGCTGAACTATCATGTATGTTTTGCCACTAAGTGTCTAGAGCTCTTGGTTTATTCAAAACATTCTCAAAGCATTTTGGCATAGCATTTTTTATTGTATGCCCCATGCTCATGATAAGTGAGTTCCATGCAAAGAAGGAAGCAGCGCCATGGGCAAAAGGTCTTTTGCTTCTTCCATCCTCTTGTTGTGAATATAAGCCACCACATTGCCTAAGTCTGGCTCTTCAATGGAAAAGAGGTTCCATACTGAGTGTAGAACACCAGTGTCCTTGACTTCTCATAGAGGCTGTGCTGGCTTCTTCCACATAGCAAGTTATCCACAAGAAGATCAAGATCAAAGTCGAAGAGGGAGGAGAAAGTAAATGCATGGCACCTTGCAGCCCTTATGTGAGCATTGTGTTTGAGATCAGAGTTTGCTAGCAGAAAGACGCGTCTCGATGACTTCTCTTCAAATTCAGATCTGTCCATCAAAACCGTGACAGGGATTAATCTCTATGTGCTAACCGACCCGCAGCAAGCCTACAGATTGTTGGCCGGATCAAAGCTACAATGAGGAGCCACTCATGATCATATCGTTGGCAACAGTGCGAAGTTTAGTCCGTGATCTGGGGAGCAGTGAGCTCGCGAAGTCCTCATTCCCGGTGGCCAAGTTGCTGATGATAAGGAATTAATCAAGACCGTGACATTGAACAGGGTATGGTGATTACGATTTTTAAAACATAATAAAAGAAATAAATCACACTTGGTGGCCGATATCTTCTGCCTCGTGATCGTTTTCGTCAGTCTGCTAGGCACTAAGTCAGGATAATAGGTATGATGGAGGCCATCAAATAAGAATCTGAACCATACAAACAGCATAAAAAAGAGAATATGCTAAAACTGGAAAATATGCTAAATTAGGACTTTATAAATTAGTTTAATTAGACTAATTTAACACTAAGCATTTCAACCATTAACTATCACAACAAATTCGAAAACCTTGCTGACAAACTCTAGCTACAAAATTTAACTTCTAACTCTACTGACCTTCCTATGTTAGTTGTAGGCCTCCTCTTGAAGCACATGCACCATGCTTCAACTTTGATGGTTTTTATATCCTTCAAAAGATGTTTTACCATTTATAGAATGGTAATTTTTATAAAAAAATTATGAACAATTATAAATCTAGTATGATTTTTAACCATAAAATACTGTTAATAAAGAGTTAAACATATAGAGTACCAGGTAAATGGACAGATTATTTCCCATGTTTTGAGCTATGAGGTATTTATGCTTATAAAACATCATTGAACTTGATTGTATTTTATATTTATAAGTGAAAAGTAGATCTCAAACAAACCCTTCAAAAGAAAAAATGAGTTATTCTTCAAAGTTGAGACATGGCTTGTGCCACAACCTACTTATTTGTGTTGTGCTTATTTGTTTTAAATGATTCTCACAACAATAAGAAATGATAACATTAAGTTTAACCAAAAACTCTGCTTGATAGTTTGAATTTAGAGTAGCAATTAGTACAATTGTTTGATAGTATATAGTTGCAATTGAACAATTAGACTCAATTGATGGCAATATTTATAGTATGTGGTGTAGCTCCTTTTGCTCTTACTGCTAATCCTTGTGTTTAGCCAAAGTTCTTCTATGAGAAACTTAAAGATGATATATACCATTAGTTTAATCACTTTATAGTGATTGCCCTTTATCATTCTTAAGATGATGCTTGGCATTTACACAAATTTACCATATATCTCTAAGGGATAAAGTTGCAATGGTACAATGGTTTAAATACAACCATTTATGCAAATTAAAACCTTCTCTAAGGCATATTTAGATATTTGACAATTTTAATAATTCTTTCCAAAAATTGCATCATCTCTAGTAAGGGTTGCCTTTAGAGCCTTTTGCTTTATGCAGAGCCAACTATATTAGAGTGAATCAAGTTGAGAATGTTGTGACTAGTGCTTTATCAAGATTTTGTAGAATTTATATATGCATTTGCTCCTACCACCATTGACAATGTTTTTCAACAGGCAAAATACTATCAGCCATCACCTTTTTTATTTATCATTGGCCATAATATCCACTACTGGTCGTATGATGAGGTTGGGCACATGTATTGGCATTGTGATGTTTAGTGTTGAGCGTGTGATAAGAGTGGCCACATATATTAGCATTATCGACGTTTTCTAGATTAGCGTCTTCTATTTCTTGGGTGAAGTCTCATCAACAACATTCTATTAAAGCTATTACAATAAAAAATCTTGACATAAAGATTTTCTAGGAAATGAAAAATTGCACAAGTAATGGAGGGTCTTTGTACAAATAAGTTAGTAACCCTTCCATTATTCTTTTAGGAGTATCATTAAGGAGTTCATTTGGCACTAGTTCATTCAATATTTACTTTTCAAACTCATTTTTATAACAAGATATCTTTTTTATTTTCTCTATGTTAGTTAATACAAGTTTAAGTTTATCTTTTATTGCTTAGCATGTTGCCACACATTGCCATGTATAGTTATATCATGTGGTAAAGCCAGTCTTTATTCTTTATGGCAATAGTCGTACACATGTATATAGATAAGATAAAGTGAATTTAGTTATGCATGTGGGTGATTCTAAGTTTATGATTCATTGTTGCAAATGGTGCCAAGTTAAATTGTTTACCTTATCCATAGTATAGATTAGTTGCAATGCAATCATGCTAAGTATTAATTTAAAGCTTTTCCCCCTTATTTTATATTTTCTCATTCTAAGTAGGCATATCATATGACTAAAAAACCACATAGATCTTTCTATTGGTTATAGATGCAATGTGATGTTATTCAGTATGTGAGTAATTGTATTTGGTGCTAAAGTTGTAATACTTCCCCTCATTCTATGAAAGGACAATTAAAGTCATTTGTATTTCCATCTATTTAAGTTGGTGGCATTTGATATGATAGAACCTTTTCCATAGTCAACTACTAGCAGTGAATATATCATTATTGCTTATGATTATTTGATTCATAGAGTGGAAGTTGGTGCTCTTGCTAGTGCACCTGCAACTATTGTTAAATACTTCCTCTTAAATTGAGTAATGTTCTAGCATTCCTATCTTGAATGAATTCTTTAGGATAATAATCCCATATTTATGGCTGAGGCATTTCACACTTTAATATCTCGGTTGGGGATACACCACACTTTCACAAGTGTTTATCATTCACAATCAGATAGTTTGGTAGAATAACTCTTTCAAACTTTCAAAAGAATAATTGTAAAGTTTGTAAACTTTCAATATTTGAATTGAGATGGTTATTTGCCATATCTATTATACCGCATGTGATCATGGGATGAGATTTACATATACTGTCACCGTGGATCCTTGGAACTTTGGGAAATAAATAGGGATAAAATAGCCACTAAAGGCTCTTTCATCAAGCAATTACCTTTTTTCCAGTTGGTTTAAAAGAAGCGAGATAAGGTGCGTTACATTTGTAGTATATATATGTCATAAAAGTACAAAGTTCTATTAGTGTTTCACCATATAAACTCTTATATAGTCATGATTTGATACTACCAATGAAGTTGAGTTTACCTTTGCAATTGCCAAAAACTATGGATACTAAGTCTTAGGATTAGTATTTAATGACTATTCTTCCACTAATTTTAGTGAAGTCTATTAAACATTTGGGCATAAAGGTACAAAGTTTTATTAGTGTTTCACCATATAAACTCTTATATAGTTATAATTTGATACTACCAACAGAGTTGAATTTACCTTTGAAATTGCCAAAAACTATGGATATTAGGTCTTAGGATTAGTATTTAATGATTATTTTTCCACTAATTTCAGTGAAGTCTATTGAACATTTGGGCTGCATACAAGTGGGACAACAACAAATTATAACTCTCATTATTATCTATTTGTGGAGTATAAAGTGAATGACTTGATGTTTAATTCTTTTTCTTAGTTTTATAGTATATGTTTTGTCTAAGGGGCTCTTTACTCAGTGTAAGGGACTATATTGAGTATTGTGGCAAGTTAGACTGCAAATTTATAAAATTTGGCATAACATTCAATAAGTTGATCTTCCAAAAATTATGCATATTCATCAATTAAAGTGCTTTATACAAAGGGATAAAAAACAATTGGCATAATTCATAAATTTATTAGTACCTCTTTTTAATGTTCCTTTAGATCCCAATTTATGAACTAAAAATTTCAATTGCCTTCCATCCTTTTGAGAGGAAAAAATGATGTGAGGTCCAAGTGTACATTTATGATGCCATATACTATTATTAACATAGTGGCATTTTGGTAGTTATTGCATTTATTTTAATCCAGACCATTTACTTTTATATATGAGCTAGGGTTTTTGTGTTAATCAAATATACACATTTTTTAATTCTATTTCTCACAAAATAATATTAAATTTTAGTTTATAAAATATTTATTCAATTATTTATAATTTTTAAAATTTGATAGTACAGAAAAATGTTAATTACATTACAAGATCTTAAAATGAAAAGAAATTTAAGTTTTAATGAAATTTATGTTTTAGTATAGAGAGTGGTATGTTTTATATTGAGAAGTAAACTTTTTAATTCCCTATAAGTATTTATAAATAAATAAATTTAAGTTTAGGTATAAAAAATTTAATGTTTTATACCACTAAATATACATTTGGAAAATATTAAATATTGTGAAATGCAATAATTAGTATTCTAGAAATTTTATTGTCACATGCATTATTGGAATTACATATATGCTATTTTTTTCTAAATGTAAATTAAAACTTCTGATTGTATAGATCAATTTTATATAAATTAACATATAATAAAATTTAATATATATAATTCAGTTTAATTTATAATTTTGCTTCAAATGATTTGTTATTTTATTATTTTGTAGCATGATGGTTTTTAAAATATACAAAAAATAAAAAATCAGGATAAATTATTTTGATTTTAACTACTAAAATAAACCAATGTTGTTATTTTTGGCTAAAGGTGCTTTCCAAGGGTTTAGAAATTTAGGGCTGGTATAGAGATCGAAGTTATGGAGGAGCGTGCGAGCGACGACATTCAAGCTTCCTCGTCTTCCTCATGGCTGCTTGCGCTGATGGGTGTGACGAACTTCTTCAAGTGTTGCCCGACCCATCCAGAGGTCGGTCCGGGTACTCGAAAGCTCGCCTCGTTTTGCCGTGCCTGCGAGAAAGCCCTTTGCAAGGAGTGCGACCAGCGCGATCACAAGGCCTGCAAGCCAAACATCCTGCAGATCCTCAGCGCGTCCAGGTTTGCGGCGTTGAAGGTCGACGACATCGCGCCCCTGATCGACACCTCCGGCCTGGAGACGTTCAAGATCAACGGCAACTACATCCACTTCCTGCACGGGAGGCCGCGAAATGCAACCTTGGCAAACAAGAACCAGTGCCGCCATTGCAATAGGGTGCTCCTCACCACGGTCTCGCTCTACTGCTCGATCCAGTGTAAGTATCGCTGCAATGCCGATCTCGCGCCGAGACCGCTGGCTCGGCCAGTCCAGCCCGAAGATTTTCAAGCCAGGGCTGCTCGCGTGGTCCGACACCGGGAGCCGCAAGACCATCGTAACTTTGTGGAGAATCGAGAAGCCCTTAAGGTCGAGGTTGATCAACAAACGCTAGAAATGGCCAACGTACTCGAGGCCATCTTGGTCAAGGTGCCAAAGCGCAAGAGGGTGTCTGACGCTAATCAAAGGGTTGCCACCATTTTTTGCCAGAGGGTGTGTGTCGATGATCAGAGGGTCGACCAACTGGCCATGAGTAAGAAGCGGAGGAGAGGCTCGCAACCGGAACCGGAGGAAGATCGAAAACGAAGCAAACGGAGGAACTCTCGGCGGGAGAAAGAGGAGATGGATCCTTGGGCCCTGGAGGATGAGGAGAGAGAGTTCTGGACGTTCCCGAGGAATGGAAGATCGCCCTCCTTCTAAGACAGCTTTGAAGTTTGTTAACTGCGCTCGATCGATCGGCATGGTCTAAGAATAGTTTTGTGTATTCCAAGTTTGTTGTAAACATGGTGTATTTACTTTTTTTTTCTCAAGAAGATCTTCTCTATCGACCATTTTCTCAAGAAGATCGTCAATCCAATGTTGTCTGGTACATGTTTCGCATAAACACATAAGCCACGGCCTGGTCGCGATCCAGTTCCACCAGCGCGTCAAAAGCTAGCTTCCCAAGCTCGGCATTCTTCCACCTCTGGCAAGCTCCCAAGATGGTCCTCCAGATCAAATCTCCCGGCTTGAGAGTCATTGACCTCGCCATCTCCACCGCCGCCTCCACCTGGTTCGCGCGGCAAAGCATGTCCACCATGCACACGTAGTGTTCCATCCCCGGGACGATCCCAAACTTGGAAGCCATGGCGTGGAAGCACCGCTCGCCCGAGTGGACGAGCCCGGCATGGCTGCACGCCGCGAGAACGCAAAGAAGCGCCACACCGTCGGGCTTGACGCCCTCGTCCACCATCTCTCCAAAGAGCTCAAGAACACGCCGGCTATCCCCCTCCCGGCCATACGCACCGAGCAAGGCCGTCCAGGCCATCAGATCCTCGGAGCTCGAGCGCGAGGAATCGAAGAGCCGCTGGGCAGCCGCGAGATCGCCACACTTCCCATGAACGTCGATCAAAGAGTTTGCCAGGGGCGCGTAGCTCTCGAGCCCGGAACGCGACAAATCCGCGTGGATGGCCCGCGCGGCGTCCAGCGCCGCCGCCGCGCCACACGCCGAGAGCGCCGCCAAGAAGAGCTGTGGATCCGGCGGTCGCTGGAGGCGGAGGCGGGCGAAGATCTCCAGCGCCGCCTCCGCCTCGCCGCTCTCGGCGTAGCCGACCATCAGGCGCGTCCACGGCACGAACTCTCCCGCCGGTAGAGCGTCGCAAAGTTTGCGAGCCTCCGCCAGCCCGCCGCCGCGATGCTCCGCCACTCCTCCGCCACCACACTTGGCATACATCTCCACCAGCGAGCTCGCCACGAAGCCATCCAAGGCGAGGCCCAGCTCCGCTGCTCGCGCGTGGATCTCCACGCCGCGATGGAGCAGCCCGAGCTCCCCGCATGCCTTGATCGCCGCCACGATCGAGCCAGCTCCTTCAGTGCTGGAAAAGAGCTCCAGCGCTACGCGGGCCTGGCCGTGATCGACGTAGCCGAGCATCATCGCGTTCCACGACGCGGTGGAGTGGAGCTCCATGCGATCGAACGCAATCCTCGCGTCGAGCAGGCTGCCACACCGCGCGTAGAGATCGATGAGCGTGGTCGCGACAAGGGTGTTTGTTCCAAGCCCGGATGTCCACGCTCGAGCGTGGATCCTCATCGCCCTCGCCAGGGAATCTATCTTCATCTTCATCCCGGCTATGGAGCTCGATTCTTCCTCCTTGATCGAGAGCCGCGAGCACGCCTTGAGCGCCGCCACGAACGTGAGCTCGTTTGGCGAGTGGAATCGATCGAAAGCGTCGAGGGCGATCGCCTCCTCTCCATTCTCGCCATAGCCGGCGATGAGCGCCGTCCAGGAGACCACGTCCTTCTCCTCCATAGCGTCGAAGATCCGGCGAGCCATCGCCATGGCGCCACACTTGGCATACATATCCACCAGCCCGTTGGCCACGAAGCTCTCGCGATCCATGCCACTCTCCCCTGCGATCCTCCCAATCTCCATCGCCTCGAGCGAGCTCTCCCGGCCCTCCTCGCGATCGATCCGTGTAGCGAGCATGGAGCACGCCTTGATCGCCGCGACGAAACCCCGGGAATCCACCGCGCAGCAGCGATGGAAGAGCTCGATCGCCACCTCCGGCGACCCATTCTCGGCGAATCCCAGCATGAGCGCGTTCCAGGACGAGGCGCTGCGCTGCGGCATTGCATCAAACACCCCGCGAGCTTCGATCAACCGCCCAGCCTTGCAGTAGAAATCCACGATCGCGTTGGCGACGAAGACGTTGGCGTCACAGCCGGCTCTCCTCGCCTGGCGATGGATCGCGATCCCTCGATCCAGGAACGCGGATGATCCGCCACTATCTCGATCGATTCCACCGCTGCAAGCCTTGATCGCCGCGACGAAGCTCCCGGCGTTGGTCTCTTCCATAATCGAGAAGAGCTCGAGCGCGAGCTCTGGATGCCCATTGCGGGCATAGCCGAGGAGCAGCGAGTTCCACGCCACCACGTCCCGGCGAGGCCCCATCTCCTCGAAAGCTCGCTTCGCAATATCCATGCGTGCGCATCGCGCGTACATGGTGACGATCGAGCTCGCGACGTAGACGTTGCTGCTGCTGCTGGAGGCGAGATTGGCGATGGCGCCGCCCATCTCGAGATCGCGCAGGGCGGTACATGCCTGGAGCGCCGGGAGGAGGAGATGGAAGTCGTGGTGTTCTTGGGCGATGCTAGGCTGGGAGGCATGGCGGAGATGGGTCGAACGAGATTGAGCTACTGCGATCGAGGAGAGGCCGAGAACATACCGCGCGAGGACGAGACGATCGCGAGAGCACCGCTCACACAAGAACATCCATGCCCTAGCCAAGCGGCTAGAGACCACCCTTCCTCCAAGGACCACATTTTCGCTGAAAATTTCTTGGCGAGCCCATCACATCCTCCGGAGAAATGCTTTTCGATCCAGCTCGCGGTCGAGAAACCATAGCAATTTTCACCTGGAAGATCTATACAACTAAGATCACGACGAGAGAAGAACAAAAGAAACGAAGAACAAAAAACACGAGAAAAACTTCTTAGTACACATTCCTTCGAAACATGATATCCTCGGGAACAACTCTGGAATCACGCTGATAAGCTCGAGAGAAATCGAAAGGAAAAGCGAGTGAAAAAGAAGCTTACAACTCTGGTGGAGCTCTCACGGAATGCGGTGGAATCAATCCCAGAGGAAAGTTATGTCCCCAGCTCGTCTTAGCACCATGGCCTGCAAAACCTGCGCAGCAGCAGACATGGAAACGCACTGTACCGGTGAGAAAACCTCCATCCCCTGAAAGCTTGTAGAAATACCGTAGTACTTGTAGTAATTGTACTTTGAAGTTGCCGGATGAACCGATGAGTCGGAAGCTTGATCCCTGTCCTGCCGCTGCTTTCGCCACTTCTTCTTGACTCGCCTCGGCCGCGGCGGAGGGATGACATCGTCGAGCTGCATCTGCGAGCTCCCGGGGCGCTCCATCATCTTGCACTTGTCGCAAAACTCGTCGTCGTCGAGGTCTTCTTCCTGGTGGTAGCGTTGCGATTGTTTGTCTTCGTAGCGTTGCTGGTGTTTGTCTTCGTAGCGCTGGCGTTTATCTTCGTATCGCTGGTTTTTCTCTTCGTATCGCTGGCTATCTTCTTCATTGTCTCGACTTGGACTTCTCCTGTGGATTCGATCGTGCCGTGAGAAAAGGAGAAAAACGAGAAGACTTCTCTTGGATACCTGATGCAAATGTTGAAGACTTTGTGTGCCGGCGATCTTCTTCCAGTGTCGTCCTTCTTCCCTACGTAGATCTTGCCTTCGTACGCTTTTTGGCCGCGAGGGCTCTCTCGGTCGCCATACGAAGATCGTCCGGGAGAGCTTTGAGCCCGGTCGTGCTCGCAGCGAGAGGTTGTAAGCGGGGTCTCGTCATCGTAGTACTCTTCACGACACGTCTTGTTGCTGCGAGGGCTGATTCTAGGACTCTCTGAAATAAAAAGAAGAAGAAACAATCAGCAAACTTCGATCAATTGAGTTTTTCTTTTTTACCGAACTTGGGATGTTGGAAGAGAGATCACAAGAGATCACCAGGCTTTTGATCGCGTTTTTGTAGCCGGAGTTGCTCCACCTCGCTCCGGCACTCCTCCAGCTGCTTGGTAAGCAACTCCCATTTCTTCTCGCATTTCTCGTGCAGCGCCTCGAGATTTAGATTGGGCACGGTCTGTGGCCGCTGCTGCTGCTGCTGCTTTTGCTTCTCCGCCAGCGCCTAGAACAAGAAACCAAGAAACAAAAAATTTCCATCGTTTAGTTTAGTCGCTTGCTTGCGCCCATTGAAATCACGGCTACTCAAAACCTGGCAACCCATGATCGACCACTCTGGGGGATCTAGCCTAGGGCTGGAAGCGTACCTCGGCGCGCCTGGCCACCGCCGCCGACGCTGGGCGGGAGAGCTTGTAGAAATTTCCATACTCCATGTTGCAAGTGAGCCATCGATCGGGCGAGTCGACGGCAGTGCAGTCGTGGAGCGCCTCGAATGCGCCGACGCTGGCGTTGGCATTGGGCGTAGGGCTGGGGCTGGAGGAGGCGGCCGCCATCCCAATCGAGCTCCGGAGGAGGGCGGCATTCTCGCCGGATTGCCACGCAAGACTTAAAAACCTATCCACTTGGCGCGTCGAGATGCACCCACATCAGCTCCTATCCACAACATTTTTAAATTTCTGGCGCCAAAAGTTTTAAAGTGGCTATGGCGATGCTTTCGTTTTGTTCTCCGAGCGTCTCCCTGCCCTGGAACACGAAATTGGGAGGGAGGAAACGCGATGGAGTAATCTCTCGAGCAGCGCTCGACAAGGTAAGTTTTCCCGGATGATTTTATGCGAGTGCTGCCATTGCCATACATTCCAGGGGGGAAATTGCGCGACTTGCAAAGGCAAAGGCGCCATGGAGTGCAAGGGATGCAAGGTGAGAACTCGACTCCAAAAACCCCCTTGACAAAACAATGTGGCAATCGAATTGGGTTGCAGGGAACTGGCAAGAACAAGAAGAATGGCAATGTTTTCGAGCGATGGAAGTAAGAAGTTTGGCACAATTCCTTGAGAATCCTCATGGAAGCACTAAATTCTACTCTCCAGATGCTTTGATTGCCAAGGCTTTGGATATGTGAGCTGCCCAAGATGTGGCAAAGGTGGATTGACCCCAGAACAAAGGGGAGAAAGATAAGGTTTATAAGATTTTTAAGGTGAAGCGGCAACCAAACCTAATTATATAATTTCTTCATACTTAAACTATTGCAAATGACAACCCATCAGCGCAGCCACACTACTTCGCCAGCATTCCTGTGGTAGAGGCTGAATTCCACGCTCTTGGTGACGGAGGCTACACGTTTGCACGATGCGATCTTTTTTATCATAGCCCTAAGAAGCTCAGATAGTTTGATGCAACACTCTGCCTACTCTGCTGTATCCCTTCACAAATCTCTACAGTGACCGGCGGTGCCAAGGCAATCGACTTGGTGTCACAAAACACTTGACAGCTCACTTGAAATAAGCCAAAAAAAAAACCAAAATTCAAGCTTAGTGTTAGAGACTTTTTTGCACTCCAGTTTTGCTTTGCATATTTTCTCAACCAGAGGTATTGTCCTCTTCAAAGAATTTCCAAAACTGTCTTCCTTTGTCTGAATTGGGTGTAAGGTTCCATCGTCTCCCTTCTCACTTAAGTTTTGAACCGACTGCTCCAGAACTTGTTAGCCATGAACATAATTAGTTGAAGAAGAAAACCTTTGTAATCTCCTCGTAAATTGCCAGTTGAATCTTCTTCGTGCTTCTTGGAAATTGGTTGTTTCTGCCTCCAGATCCACCTCCAGCTGTTGCATTCTGAATTCCATTCTGGACATCAAAATACTATCAATCTTTAAACTATATAGCTACAATGGGGCAGCTCCTTACTTGTACGCTGTTGCATGCGTCACACGTGGAAAAAAGCGGAGTGGGCCGTTTGCCACGTCAACTGGAACACTTCGTCATGCTTTAGGGGTTTAGGGTTGTGCGGGCTGTGGCTATGGCAGGCTCTAGCGGCAGCCAGGGAGGCCTTGAGGTCTGTCCGCCAGAGAAATTTTCTTGCTCTAGCTCGATTTTGTGTAGGCTTTGTCAGGATGCGGCGAGGACTCTGGCTGGGTGGAGGCCAGGACGAGCTGTCCGCATCTCGATCGAGTTTGCAACGCGCCTCTCTTGCCTCGATTTGATGCGCCCTGTGCAATGTATGTGGGTGGGATCTCCATTGCCTGACAATCCCTCGGGATTGAGTGCTTGACTGATCTTTCTCTTTTCTCTCATCGCTTGTTTGTTGTTTTCCTTGATTTGTTTTTTCCATTTGTCCGCAGCTGCGGTGATCATCGCGAGAATTGGGTGTGCTTGAGCTGCCGAAAAGTCTTGTGTGGACGATTCATCAATGGACATATGCTGTCACACTTCCAAGAGTTTGGTCATCCATCGGCTTTAAGCTACAGGTGGAATCTTTGTGTCTTCCTCTCTTGGTTTTTTGCCTTGTTCGCTCATGAGCTTCCTTGTTTTTCTCTTGCGAATCTGGCAGGGATTTGTCCGTATGGTGTTTCGCTTGCGATAGTTACCTGGATGCTCAAGTTATCAGCGAGCTCCGGCCAGCGTTTGATGCCGCGCACGCCATGAAATTTGGCACTCCAGCTCCACTTCGCTGTTAAACCTTCTTTAAAACTTCTACGCTCGTGCTTTCTCTTTCGCTGTTTGATTCCTTGCCCAGGAGATCTCGAAACAAACAAGTATAAACTAAAAACTTTCCCATGAAATTTATTTCTTCGATCCCGTGATCAACAACCAGACAACCAGACAAATATCGTCAGAGATATAAAAACATCACAGGACAGGCAGGATTTTACGAGATCTTCGTCGCCGCTCTCTCGAGGCTCCGGATTCCCAGCCTGAGGTAAAGCTCTTGCTGCTCCTTTGTTTTCTCACTCATGATGCTCATTCCAAAAGACCAGCGGACAATCGTTTTGCTCCCATCGCAGCTCTTGGCGAGCTTGAGAGTGGCGGAGTAGTCTTGGAGGCCAAAGTTCCCTGCAATTATCTTGTAGCTCATGCTGTACCTGGCGGCGGAGAAGGCCGTGAGTTCCTCCTCCACCCACCGGAACTTACCATTGCTGCTTGGAACAGACTCAGCGTAGCGGACTCCCGGTTTGATCTCGTAACACTTTCGAATCGTTGGCACCCAGGACGCGAGGTCGTAAAAATCCGACACGATCTTCCAGGCTTTGTGGAGTGGGACTGAGATCGTCGCGGCTGCCAATCCGTGAACTCTCTTGTGGTGATGCTTGCGATTCCTGGGAGAATGGCTAGCATTGCGATTCGCGAGCTCCATGCGAAGAACAAGTCTCTGGAGGAAAAAGTCCTGGAAGAACAAAATTTGGAAGAAACTTGGAAGAAGTTGGGATGAACACGGAAGATCCGGCGAGCGCTTTGGCCGCCGCGACCTCTGGGGTAATTGCGCTGTCGCTATTAAAATTTGTGTTCCACTGCCACTAGAATACGCACATTGTTTGGCTGGATCTTGCTTTCACACTAAGCAGTGACGCAAGAACTTCTCTATCATCCGCGTGGCACAAGTGGATTGGTGACCACTGGCCACGTGTGTCATGCGATACACGATCTGGCCCCGCCGGACGGCCCAGATGTGTCAAAACGGCCAGCGATGCAACGAAGGTGATTGTACCACGTGGCTGGCGTTGTGGATGGCTGGAATGTGGCCACGTTGCTAGTATCTGGTACCGTAGGATCTGGTTTAAATGCGCCGAGGTGTTTGTCTCATAAACAGTTATCTATCCATCTGTCTCTATAAACTCTGCGTTTCTCCGAGTTGCTGGAGTTTTCTCGCGATCAAGATCTCTGGATTTCTCTTTAGCTCGCTCGCTCGCTCGCTCGATTTCTTTTTTCTCATCCATTCTTCATACCATGGACTGCCAGAGTGGAGCATATAGAACGCAAGGAATGGTGCTTGGAAGCATTGCGGCGCCGGTGGAGAGGGTGTGGCGGATCGCGGCGAACTTCTACGAGCTTGGGCGATGGGTTCCGACGGTGGAGGAGTGCCTCCGGATCGAAGAGGGCGTGAGGCTCGTGAGATCGTTTCCGCGGCCCGATGGGCAAGTGACCTGGGTCAAGGAGAGGATGGTGAGGCTGGATGATGAGAATCACTGCCTGTCCTACGAGATGGTGGAAGGAAACATGGGACTGGAGGAGTACGATGCCACGCTCGAGCTCTCGCGAGCCGGAACCACGACCACTCTGGTGCGCTGGTCGTTCCAGATGAGCTCCAGGAGCGCCAAGAACCGGCAGGAGCAAGAGGAGTTCTTGCGGTGGGGGATCAAAAGACTTGGGGAAGCTGCTGCGAGCTACTAGCGCTAGCTTCGATATGGAAGAAAAGTTCAAGATAGAAATCTATAAACTACTGGAAACCAGCATTGAACAAAGAGAACGTGGGAGAGGGATTTGCTTGGAGTGCCCGGGACCGAAAGCGTCAAGATTCGCCTTTTTGGAAGCATTGACAATTCTATCTAGTTGCCGAAGATGTGAATCTTAAATCAACTTTAAAAGTTTGAAAGCGTAAAACTAAAAGTTTTAAACTAACTAAAGAAACCCTAATATCTTGTTGGCTCTCAGCCGTCGATGCACCGTATCCGACGCTCCAGATTGAGTCTGTCATGTGTCTAAATCCACGGTTATAAATTCAACCCTTTTCCTATAAACTTTTTAGGTTTTAAAGTTTGTGTCATGGCTCAAAAGGTGACTATGAGGTACTTGCAATCGAAGTACGCAAGAAAGGAACCAATCACTATGGTTACAGCATATGATTATCCTAGTGCAGTTCACGTAAATCAAGCAGGCATAGATATGTGTTTAGTTGGGGATTCTGCAGGTAAGGTCACAGTATTTTCTGAAGTGTACTCCTCTTTTTTTTCCATAGGAATGGTTGTCCATGGCTATGATACAACACTACCAGTAACCATGACAGAGATGCTGTCACACTGTAAGGCTGTTAAACGAGGAGCCAACAAATCTTTCCTTGTTGGGGATCTTCCTTTTGGGAGCTACGAACAGGCACCCCAGCAGGTTTGCTTTGATTCCATGCTATATACAAAATGTTGTTTTGCCTTATGGTTTGTTTGATCTATCAGGCCGTAGAAAGCGCAGTGAGCCTTGTCAAGGAAGGAGGAATGGATGCAATTAAGCTAGAGGGTGGTAATGCATCTCGAATCACGGCAGTGAAGGCAATTCACGATGCTGGAATTGCTGTCATAGGACACATTGGTCTCACTCCACAGTCAATCGGTGTTCTTGGTGGCTTCCGACCACAAGGGCTGACTTCTGAAGATGCTACGAAGGTAAATGAAACCTCTTCTCAACTATATTCTGATTGAGTTTCTGTGACTTTAGTTGCTGGAGCAAGCATTACTCTTGGAAGCTGCTGGGTGCTTCGCTATTGTTCTCGAGTGTGTACCTTCGCCCGTTGGCGCTGCGATAACTTCATCACTGAAAATACCAACAATTGGAATAGGAGCCGGACCCTTTTGCAGTGGCCAGGTAAACTTATGGTTTATTTACAAGTCTTATATTAAAAGCATACAATACCAGGTCCTAGTTTATCACGATCTTCTAGGAATGATGCATCCTCAGCACACAAAGGTAAAACAAAATCTCATATTTTCTTTTGGCTTAATTGCATTCTTGTGATAGGTTGCACCCAAGTTTTGTAAACAATTTGCAAAAGTGGGAGATGTTATTCAAGAAGGCCTGGCCAAATATCGCGCAGAGGTCTCTAGCGGTGCTTTTCCTTGTCATGCATACTCTCCATACCGAATCAATCCTGGCTAAACAGACTTGTTCCTGAAGGGGCTTGAAAGTAAGGGTTCTCTTGATGCAGCACAAGCTGCTGCTAGCGCTAGAGGATGGGAAGAAACTGGTGAAAGATGATGTTACAACAGCGATTTATAAGGAAAAAGAAATTATTTAGTGATATTACGTAGTCACAACAGCAGTCCCGAGTGCCTTCTCAAGATAGTTTTTATTGTTTTCGCCTTTCAAACAAACCTTGGCTATGAGAGGTGCAAATTAAAAGAATTTGAGAATGCTGCTGTGTAGTTTTCTCTATCACAACCAATAGCTAGAAAAACCATTGACGATTTGGAAACATCAGGGCTTGCCAACGCAATAATGATATTTGCATTTGCTGATCCAACCATGAGAACTTATTCATAATTCATTCATGGGATGTTAGCAGGACAATAAAAAATCATATTACTTGGGGTTAGAGTTTTCCTTAGCATTTTCAAATTGGCGCCAAATGCTTTTCAAAACTAACGGAATCTGCCTACGCCCTAACAGAATGTGCTTCCTTAAAAAAGGAGGCGACGGAATATTTGTTTCTTGGCCTTCTGCCATGGGCGGGGACGAGAGCTGTGACGACGACTTCCAGCCAACCCTGATTCTTGGCAACGACACCCAGCAGGACGCGCACGGCGATGGCGGCGGCGGCGGCAGCGGCGATTGCGTTGCCGATGCCCGGGGCGATGGCGTCGAGAAGGCGCTGTCCGATGGCACCACTGTGGATGACGAAGAAGCCGGAGCTGGAGGCGTCCAGGACACGGCCTCGTCCAAGATTCAGGAGCGCGACGATGAAGGTATGGCTGTGCTTCTCGCGGCATGCGATTGAGAGAGATTCTTGGTTTCTTGGCAGTCCAACCGACCCTGATTCTTGGGACGCAGCTGCTGGAGAGTCCCCAGTACGAGAGCACCCAGATTTTTGGCCTGGAGCACGCAGGGCTGGAAAATCCGGTGGAAGAGAAAAAAGCAAAGAGCTTGGCGTCGATACGTGTGCAGTCGCTGCGTGGATCAGCCATGGCGGCTTACGAGAGGTTGGTATCCAAGCTAGAGCCAGAGAAGGACCCACAGGGAAAAGTTGAAGTGGACGATTCGGCCAAGTTTGTCTTGCAATGGGGTATGAAGCAGGCCAAGACTTCCACGATTGCTTTCGACGTCTTCAAGCCAGCGCCATCGCTTGTGGAAGAGAATCTGGTGACTTCGAACGGTGGAGCCAGTTGCTCAGCGTCAACTCCCGTCTCTCAAACTCTCAAGAACATCAGCCTTGTCCCGGCATTGTGCTCGAACAACAAGAAGTCGACAGAGAACCGGGACAAAAAGTCGGACTCGGCTAGTCCTCGGCAGCAGGAGAATTCTCTGGACAAAATTCGAAAGGTCTTATTCGATGGGAAGAGTGTTCCAGGCGAAGATTGCTGTCACCCTGTGCAACCTCTGAGTGCGATCGTAGCTCCCGTGAGGGAGCTCAGCTATCTTAATTCTCAGGATCCGGGAGAGGAGTCGCAGGCCATTGCTCTTGAGGCGCTGGAACGGTTGGTTTCCACAAACGGCGATTTCTCTCAAGAGGCTCAACTCGGTGACTTTGACGTGGAAAACAAGAAGATGAACGTGCTCGCCTCTCGCATCGTACAGCTCCAGCGGGACGACCCTTCTTCAGTATATGATTTCGTAACGAGCCAGGAGGATCCGCTCATGAAAGCCGGGGGAGTGCCAGCAGCAGAAGGTGACCAGCCAGCGCAGGTTTTGGATGAAGAAAAAGTCTCTGAGGCGCTTGAAGAACAGGGTAAAACGCCTCTTTCGGTGGCGATGGGAAGTAAGCCGAGCACGAACAAACGGAAAACCGCGCCTCCACGTAGTACCGCTAGAGGTAAAAGGCGTAGAAAGGCTTCCCCAAGGCGCGCTGATCAGGTAGTTTTTAGAGCACCGCAAGTAGATCCACAGACTCCTAAAAGCACGAGTAACGATGCCGTTTCTGCTGAAGCTGTAACGAAGGGCAGCAAGTCGACGGCTAGGAAGCGAAAGAGTGAGGCGGAGAAGCTGATCATAGCCGACGACACACCGAGAAGGAGCAGACGACGGCCAGTTAAAGTTCTGTTTAGTCACTCCCTCGGCAAGGATACGATCGAGGAGCAGAAGAAAGTAAGCATGTTTGTAGCTGGTCCTGTCAAGTTTTTGTAACCGGTTACGTTCTGCTAGGTGCTGAAGAAGCTCAAGTTCCAGGTCGTGGAAAAAGCTGCGGAATGCACACACTTCATCACGGACAGGTTCTTGAGAACAGCCAATATGCTGGAAGTCCTGGCTGCGGGAAAGCCCGTTGTGGATTTGGCGTGGCTAGAGAGCTGCAGCGTGGCAGGGTGCGCGGTGGACGAGAAGAAATTCATCGTGGATGACTCTAAAAAGGAGAAGGAGCTCGGGTTTTCTATGCATTCAACGTATATTTCTGCTCAGCAAAGGCTACTGTTGGAGGTATAGTCACACGTCTTTTTCTCTCAGAACCGATGAAGCTTGACAAAATCAACAGGGAATCCCAATGCACATAACTCCAAATACGAAGCCACTGGACATGGTGGAGTCCGTTGTAAAAGCTGCGGGAGGAAAGGTGTGTGTATGTGTGTGAATTGGAAGTATTGACTGCTGTTACGCAGATTGTCAAGAAGAACGAAGCCACTGGGGGTTGTCTAGTGATCTCTTGCGAGGAGGATCGAAAGCATTGCTTACCACTTATCAAGAAGGGTACGATTATATAGTAAGATTTGTTTTGAGAGTGTAGTTATACCTGGTGGTACTTCAGGGATTAAGATTTATTCGACGGAGTTCCTGTTCAGCGGCGTGGTGAGCTATCACCTCGATTACTCGAAGTGAGTTTGGCACACTTCTTTTCTAGAGCCTTCTAACCGCGTGGGTGACTGCCTTGGCAGAAACCTCTTGTTTGCTGCTTAGCACGTCCTTGGAAGTGTACAGACGCGGTGCGAAGTTTTGGAATGAGTTTGAAGTTTTCTCAAAATGTCTAGGGGAGCATTTGTTCATTCACGGCAACGATTGCTAGAGCTACGAGAACTGGAACGTTATCTGCAAAACGTTGATACTCCAAAGCTAAAGCTGGAGAAAATCACTAGGGGCATATAAGGAACTCTTCACTTGGTGCCACTCGATTGCATATCCTGCAGGTTTTCATCGCCTTTGTCCTTCGGTTGTGCTCCTTTTTGCCATGCACCCGGACCACGCAACCAGACGACTCAAACACCTGCAACTGCAAAAAAAATAAAATAACAAGTAAGCAAACATTGCCGAGAGTTTTTTCTTTTTTTTTTTCACCTGCTTCATGAATCCACTGTTTGGCTTCACAGTCGGGCTGCACTTCCTGAGCGACGCCAACGCCTCTACAAACAGCATAGATCTCAAAACTGAAGTATGGGCTCACGAGAGCTCAAAACTAACCACTGGCCGAGAGCTTCTCTTTCCACATAAGGTACGCAATCACCACGGACGCACTGCAAGAGCCGAAAGCACAAAAGTTATAAAAACTGAGAGGGAGAGAGAGAGAAGTTTGGAGTTACCTGCGGGAGATGCCACCACCACAGTGTACCAGCACTATGCCCTTGTTCACACCCTCGTCGATGAACTTGAGCGCGTCCTCGAGGTGTTCCAGCAGGTTTTCGTCGTGGCTATCCTCCACTGGGATCACTTTCCTGACGATAGCTCCATCAAAATCGGCGCACTTGGTGTCAAGCTCAGCGGCGATCTTGTAGACGATGGCGTTATCCCTTGGAGGCCCCAGGGGCGTCGAGAATTCGTGGCCTGGGCATAGGGGCACCACCGAAAGGATGTGAGTGACGCCCCTGTGCTTACCAGTAAGGAAGTAGAATGCGTCGAACTGGTTGCCAATGTAGAGACCCGGTCGTACCTTCTTCATCGGCTGCCAAGAACCCTAAAACTCTTTTCACCTTTACTCAAAATAGGGTTAACTTGGAAAAGTTTTTCTCCATAACAGTCCAATTTCTTCTCCCAGCTAGCTACGGGAAAAAGATTTGACCACGATTTAATCAGTGATGATCCATTTGGTGCCAAAAATCAAGCCTTGCAAGCCCCGCATGAATTTCTACGTTCCAGGACTGGCGTACATTTCCTCTTTAGAGAGGAGCAACGATACCATTTTGTGTGCGCTATTCTAAACAACGGAGATTGGAAGATTTAGAACCAGAAGAGCGAATTACTCAAAGGTATAAAGCATTTGACATGTAGCTCTAAAACACCCGATCGTTAAAACCCAAAGGCCTTCTGGGTGGCCTCTATGACTGAATTGGCTAGACGCTGGTTTTCTCGCCCAGCAAGAAGAAACCCGGACTTGAAACCCTCCCATAAAGTCCCTCCGAGCGGCAAAACCCATTTTCTGATTGGTGATCGCATTTACCATGGCAAGATTGCTGCCATCGTGAGGAGCAACGAGATCCAAATCGATCACTCGCAACCCCTGGCTTGTCACAAAAAACTCAGTCTTTACCGTTCAGGCCCAGGCTGAGCAGCAAGACGCCGTAGAAGCCGATCTCGGTACAGATCGCGTGCATGTTGTGCCCCTGGCCTTCGAGTCGACGGAATCCCTTGTCCGTCATGCGCACTTTGATGAGGCAAGGAGACGGCTTGGGCGGGTGGAGAAGCTCGATCACGAACGCCGGTTTGGCAGCCAGCTAACAATAACACCACCCAGAAATACAATGTTAATGCAATTATGCTGTGGGAGAGAGGCCACTACTTTCCAAAGATCATCGTTGTCTGGTATGTAGCGTAAACAAACAACGATTTAAAAAAAAGAGCATAAAAGATTGAATATTCTCAAAGCCCTTTGGAAACATCTATATATAGACATTAGTGAGCTAGGTATCTTTAGGATGGATATGTTTGGGGATGTACTGAAGCAGATAGTTTCAAAGCTTTCGGGTAAAGATTTGATTGCAGCTAATCTGGTTTCAAAAGAATGGGCTGCATGTGTACGTGTAATTCTAAGAGAAAGGCATGAATCTCTTAAAAAAGGGTTGTGCCAGATCCAAGGGAGCCTCACATACTCTGAAATGTATTATGATCTCCGCATCTCAAAGCCAGAACTCAAAAATTCCATTCATCTTTGTCTTGTTACATCAGATCATGGGAATTTATCTCAAAAGAATATATCACTAGAGTTTGTGGTGGATTTTGCATCAAGACAAAGCGCTGACCCAGAACATCAAACTTCCATCATACTTAAGCAGAATCGTTTTACTTTTGAAAACTGTGCTGCATACGATCACGATATTAATCTGGGTTGCTTCATATTTGCAAGATGGGAAGGATCCGAGGCAGAGTGGATGGTAGTCTTATGTGATCCCATAGTAGAGCACATAAAGGCCTTGCCAACTTTTGAAACTTGGAAGCAATGTCCGGGAGGGATCTCCATACTGATTGATAGGGATGACTTACGGCATTACAGAATTGTTGTACCAATGATTTCAACAGCTGGGTTTTGTATATGTAATTCCGTTTTTGTGTTTGACTTACAAATGGGAGGAGGTTGATTTTGCTGAAAATTATTACATTAACAGTTCAATTTCCCATGGAGGGGAATGCTATGCATTGAAGTCTGGATCAGGAGTGGTCATGTATAAAGATGATGGACGTTTCAAGGGTCTGCAATGAAATTATCCATTGTGCACCAGAACATGTTAAGCTTGAGAGCTGGCATGATGGCTTTGTAGTTGCTAGGTATGATCCTGGGCTTCTCAGGCTTTACAAAGTGATGGGGGATGGAGAGGAAGAGATTGCATGCATGGGAGGAATAGATGATATTACTAACTCTAGTAAATTGAAGTACTCTATTAAAGCCTGGGATGACAAACTATACATAGGATTGTTAAAGCCAATGAGGTGGTATAAACTCATGGAATGGATTAACAGGCAGTGGAAGCAAATTTGGTTTGAAGATTTGAGCTCAAATAAAACATTTATGAATATACAACTTGTTTAAAGGAGGTGTTAAAGAATAGAATAGAATACTGTAATTGCATAACTACATATACCACAGATAGAGAGAGAGAGGATTAATTTTAAACACTTTGAATACAATGTGCTATGGGAATTAATTTAGTAGCCAATCTAGATATGAGTTTATACTAATTTTAGATACTTATTTATATGCTTTATTTCGTTAAAGTGGAACTTTTCATTATCCCACTTATGGTGTGTGGCCACATGCCATTTTTATAACAACAATAAAAAATTGAATTTTTAGCTTTATAATTTATAAATTAAAAACTTTTCATATGATTTTGTGTTATAATATTGTGAAATATAAAAAAAAAATTAAAAAACTGATAGAAATATTAATAAATATTAATTAAGTACTAGGAAATGGCATGTGGACACATGCTAATTAATGTCCCACTTTACTGAATAAATTCCACTTTAACGAAATAAAGCATTTATGTGTATAGCAAGTTTTGATAAGTAGAGGTTTAAAGTTCAATTCCTATTGTAGCCAGTAATAATGAATATACTCCTTAATAAATATAGAGAGATGACAAATATATAACATCATCCCACCTACTATCAAACATTTGCAACTTACTTAAAAGTATAAGCAAGATGAGAAGCAAGTTCTCAAGTATAATCAAGCCAGTTAATTAAATAATGGTTAATGTTAGTACTAATACTTTGAGTTAAGGATGACAACAACCTCAAATTCCTACTTGCCATGAATAACCTTTGGAGAAATTGGTGGTGGAATATGAGTAGGATTAAAAAGGGTGTAATAAAGTTTCAATAAAGAAATAAAAAACACTAGATACAAACCTATAAATGTTGGAAGATCAAGTTGATAAACAACCCCTATTGTCACTAGTTGGTGAAGTCTAAGATGTTTTGTCCAAATTAAATGATAAAGTGAATGAGATTAAATATTTTCCTCAATATCTTCTAATAAATTAAATAATAAGCATAAGAACTTAAGAAATCAAAAGCTCAAAAATTTAATAGCCAAGTATTATTAAATAATGATCACAAGTCTCACATTAACTTAACTTTAATGATAAAATAAATTGATGGTATAACCTATAAGCCAAAATTTTAAATGAAATGTATATCTAGATCAACCTAAAAGCAATAAATAATCATCATATCAATAATTTCTAAATCCATCTATATCTGTTTCACAACAAAAATTAGTCAGTTCAAGAAGGATTGGCATACTTGCTTGCTACAAAGGCTTGTAGCTAGTGTTCATGCAAGGACTCAAAGCTTGGAATGTAAAATATATGTACCAATTATAGACATAGCAACTAATTATGAGCCACTAGTGCACTAATACAACCTTTTATTTCAAGCTAAACTTTACATTAAAAGAAAGCATTGATCTATGTAAGGAATAATGCAAACTTCTAAATCTTATAATGGTACCTCAGCAAAATAACACTTTAATGCCAATTCTTGGTTCTCCTTTCTCCTTAATTCAACCCAGTACTTAAGTTTAACAAAAATGATCTAGAAAAGGGAAAGAAAAAATCCTACTCAAGGAAGATCTTATCTTCTAAGATCAAAGCACCTAAATGACAAGAAAAGAATAAAAATCAAAACCCTAGAACTCAATTGTTTTTGAAACTTAAAGTTTTGGCATTGTTAGGAAATGAGGGAAGAAAAAAAGGTAAAGGCATATCAAAATTAAAGGCAACTTTTATTGTTCTTAATTGAGAAGTGTTTGAATTTGAGTTTTTTGTTATTTTTTGACGTGTGTTTTATATTATCTTTATCTCTTTTGATTTTTATAGCTTTTTTATTTCTTTTTTCTTTTTTTCATTCATCTTCATGATATTCTTTTATTACAATAGCCTCCTTCTCCTTTAACTCTGATGCAGTTGTTTGATACTATATAGCTGGAGTTGAATAATTATATTTAGTTGATAGTGGCATTGATGGTGTGTAATAAACTCTTCTTACTCATATTATGAATCCTTGTGTCCAACAAAACATTTTATAAAAGTCCTAAAGATGATGTTATTATTGATTAGATCACTTTATAGCGGGCTGTGTGTGTGTGTGTGTGTATGTGTGTGTTGTGTTATTATTGTTGTTATTATAGCCATTGATCAACTAGTTTTCTTTTAATTGTATTATATAAAAGACTTTCCCAATATCTCATAGTGTAAGTATTAGTATTTGAGACCAAATATGAACTTGTAAATTATAATATAGAACAGGGTTTTATTTACTTTCTAGAATAAGAGAGCATCCATTTCCTTTATTTTTTGTATTTATTTCCTAAATAATTTCTTAAATTGTAAAAGAATAAATTACAATTTATTTCTACTGTTAATTTTTATGTTCATTTTGGAGGAATAAGAAAATTAATTGATAGAGGTTAAGATCCTAAATGATTTTGTTTTCCATTTACTAAAGATGATCTAAAAATCCAACAATAATTTTCATTTGTATATACCTAGTAATTTCATATTTTATAATTTACTTATGTTAATAAATTTATCCTTACCTGAATATTTAGTAGAGTATAATATTCATTATTATATAATATTGAGCTTTGATCTAAAACCAGTGCTATAAGCAATACTTTTAAGTTCTTACCACTGACTAAAATTTTTATTCCAAATGCAGTACATAATCTATCATGTACACCATGTTTATTAGGTGGATTGAATGCATAAATAAAACTTTTAAGTACTCCTTGATATGCAAAATATACAACATGATATATTAATTGTTGTAGCTCCTCCAAAGGGATTAAAGGTAAGGTTTCCACTATAATAAATATCATCATTTGTAAGACCATTAATAAAAAAAATAATTATTTGAAATTGTGGGTATATATTAGGTAAAGAAATCCTATTGGGAAATTGTTTTATTGGAAAAGATACTATATTTAGATCTATAAAATCAAAGCCAAAGAAATAAGAAAAATTTTAAATTTCATATTTTAGAGGTGAAAACACACTAAATATA